CAGAAGTACAATGAACAAAGGACACCACCCAGGTAGGGCAAAGTCCTGTGTGTTCCCTGTTGCCGTTACATGTTTATCAGATGCTTGCTCTGTTTCTGTTATATTACATTATTTTTCTCTTCAGTATTTGCTGAGGAAGAACAAGCAGCTCCTCAGGCAAGTCAACTGTTAACTTTTCAGTTTTTATTTAATCTCCCAGGAATGTAACCCTTAACTTTAAAGAATGTAATGACCATAATGCTTATAAAGCATGTTTCTTAAGGAAATCGTACCTGTTTATTCAATCTATCAGATATGAACATTATAGAAAATTAAATTTGTCCACTTAAGCTGTAGATGAACTTTTCGCCTTTCTGATCAGAAATTCACCATCTTATAGTATAGATTCTGTTATTAATCAGAATATTTCATTTACACTCTTTCTATCCAACTTCTTCTTAGAGGCTATTCAAAATAAAGGTGCTTCTAACAGTTTCATATCAAAATACGATGCAAAGCCTTGCTCTTCCATGGTATCCTTTGAATGAGCCAAACTTATTTAGCCATTCCTCAGTAGTTAAATAGCTAGGATGTTTCCAACATCTCACCTTTAAAACAATAGTGCTATGAATGTCATAAATGTTTGTATATGTAAATATGTAGGATAAATTCCTATCAGTAGAATTTCAAAAGGTATATGCAATCGATATTTTCATACTTATTTAAAATTTTCCATCCATGCAAAGGTTGCTAACATATTTATTTAAAATTTTAAAAATAAAGTTATATGCCTCTTGTAACCAGTAATAGGATGCAAATATTTTTTTTGAGGTAACATTGCTCCTCTTCCCCCATTGTCTCTGTCATCTATACTACTCCCTGAGGTAGTTCATGTTATTGCAAGGGTGTGTATCATCCCAAACATTTTGCTTCCACACACATATAACAGCATACATATAGATATGTATAGCATATATATGTATAGCATACATATATGAGCACATATTACTATATGCCCATGCACATACAAGCATGTTTTTGTTAATTTTTACTGAAATGGAATCATACTACATACTTGTGAACAAACTTCTTCTTTCACCTCATACCACTTATACTTGTTATTCTACAAATCAGTACATATAAAAAAATACACATTTATATATGTAATACTCTGTTATAATTTTCTGCATGCACATGCATGCATATACATATATTTATAAACATAAAACTTAATCTAAACAGGATTTTTTTGGGGAGGCGATATGGTTTGGTTGTGTCCCCACCCAAATCTCATCTTGGATTCCCATGTGTTGTAGGGGGACCTGGTGGGAGATAATTGAATCGGGGGCAGGTATCTCCCATGCTGTTCTCGGGATAGTGAAAAAGTCTCACAAGATCTGATGGTTTTAAAAAGGGGAGTTTCCCTGCATAAGCTCTCTTCTCTTGTCTGCTTCCATGTGAGACATGCCTTTCACCTTCCGCCATGATTGTGAGGCCTCCCCAGCCATGTGGAACTGTAAGTCCAACAAACCTCTTTCCTTTGTAAATTGCCCAGTCTCAGGTATGTCTTTACTAGCAGCATAAAAGTGAACTAATACAGTAAATTGGTACAAGTAGAATGGGGTGCTGCTGAATAGATACCTGAAAACGTGGGAGCAACTTTGGAACTGGGTAACAAGCAGAGGTTGGAACAGTTTGGAGGGCTCAGAAGACAGGAATATGCGGGAAAGTTTGGACCTTCCTAGAGACCTGTTGAATGACTTTGCCCAAAATGCTGATAGTGATATGAATGATAAAGTCCAGGCTGAGGTGGTCTTAAATGGAAATGAGAAACTTGTTGAGAACTGGAGCAATGGTGATTCTTGTTATGTTTTAGTAAAGAGACTAGTGGTATTTTGCCCCTGCCCTAGATATATGTGGAACTTTTAACTTGGGAGAGATGATTTAGGGTACCTGGCAGAAGAAATTTCTAAGCAGCAAAGCATTCAAGAGGTGACTTGGGTGCTATTAAAGGCATTCAGTTATATAAGGGAAGCAGAGCATAAAAGTTTGGAAAATTTGCAGCCTAACAATGCGCTAGAAAAGAAAATCCCATTTTCTGAGAAGAAATTCAAGCTGGCTGCAGAAATTTGCATAGGTAACAAGGAGCTGAATGTTAATCCCCAAGACAATGGGGAAAGTGCCTCCAGGGCATGTCAGAGTTCTTCATGGCAACCCCTCCCATCACAGGCCCAGAGGTTTAGGAGGAAAAACTGGTTTTGTGGGCTGGGCCCAGGGTCCCTCTGCTGTATGCAGTCTAGGGACTTCATACCCTGCAACCTAGCCATGAATGAAAGGGGCCAAAGTACAGCTTGGGCAGTTGTTTCAGAGGGTGCAAGCCCCAAGCCTTGGTAGCTTCCACATGGCTTTGAACCTGTGGGTGCATAGAAGTCAAGAATTGAGGTTTGGGAACCTCCACCTAGATTTCAGAAGATGTAGAAATTTGCTGCAAGGCCAGGTCCCCTCATGGAGAACCTCTGCTAGGGTAGTGTGAAAGGGAAATGTGGGGTTGGAGCCCCCATGCAGAGTCCCTACTGGGGCACCATCTAGTAGAGCAGTGAGAAGGGGGCCACCATCCTTGAGACCCCAGAATGGTAGATCCATGGATGGCTTGCACTGTGCACCTAGAAAAGCCACAGACACTCAATGTCAGCCTGTGAAAGCAGCTTGGAGAGAGGCTGTACCCTGCAAAGCCTCAGGGGCAGAGCTGCCCAAGACCATAGGAATCCACCTCTTGCATCAGCATGACCTGGATGTGAGACATGGAGGCAAAGGAGATCATTTTGGAGCTTTAAGATTTGACTGTGCCACTGGATTTCAGACTTTCGTGGGGGCTGTATCACCCTTGTATTGGCCAATTTCTCCCATTTGAGATGGCTGTATTTACCCAATGCTGTACCCTCATTGTATCTAGGAAGTAACTAACTTGCTTTTGATTTTACAGGCCCATAGGTGGAAGAGACTTGCCTTGTCTCAGATGAGACTTTGGATTATGGGCTGTGGACTTTAGAGTTAACACTGAAATGAATTAATGCTGGAATGAATTAAGACTTTGGGACACTGTTGGGAAGCCATGACTCATTTTAAAATGTGAGGACATGAGATTTGGGAGGGGCTAGGGGTGGAATGGTATGGGTTGGCTGTGTCCCCACCCAAATCTCATCTTGGATTCCCATGTATTGTGGGAGGGACCCAATGGGAGGTAATTGAATCATGGGGGCAGGCCTTTCTCATGCTGTTCTTGTGATAGTGAATAAGTCTCATAAGATCTGATGGTTTTGAAAAGGGGAGTTTCCCTGCACAAGCTCTCTTCTCTTGTCTGCTTCCAGGTGAGACATGCCTTTCACCTTCCACCATGATTGTGAGGCCTCCCCAGCTATGTGGAACTGTAAGTCCAATAAACCTCTTTCTTTTGCAAATTGCCCAGCAATGTGAAAACAGACTAATACAGTAGAAGATTACTTCTCCATATCCTCTTTGTCTGCCAACCATATCACCTTTCCTATTTCCTCTCCCTCAAAGGTAACCCATGTTAACCTCTGATTATGATCTAAAACTTACATGTGTTTATTTATATAAATACTATTTCTTTATATATTTTGAACATATTAATGCATACACAAGTGTGCTAAAGTTTATATTTCTACTGCTGTCACCATCTGTAGCTTGTATGATTTACAGAATTTCATAAACAAAAATACATGAAGTAAAAGGAACCATTATGATGTGAAAGCATATAGATTAATATTCTGCTTACTAATAGTTTCTTTTTTCTTTTTTCTTTTTTTTCCTTTGGAGATGGAGTTTCTCTCTTATCGCCCAGGCTGGAATGCAATGGCATGATCTTGGCTCACTGAAACCTCCGCCTCCCGAGTTCAATTGATTCTCCTGCCTCAGCCTCCTGACTAGCTGAGATTACAGGAGTGTGCCACCAGCCTGGCTAATTTTTTTTTTTTTTTTTTTTTTTTTTGAGACGGAGTCTCTCTCTGTCGCCCAGGCTGGAATGCAGTGGTGCGATCTCGGCTCACTGCAAGCTCCATCTCCCGGGTTCAGGCCATTCTCCTGCCTCAGCCTCCTGAGTAGCTGGGACTACAGGTGCCTGCCACCACGCCCAGCTAATGTTTTGTATTTTTAGTAGAAATAGGGTTTCACCATGTTAGCCAGGATGGTCTTGATCTCCCGACCTTGTGATTCGCCCACCTCAGCCTCCCAAAGTGCTGGGATTACAGGCGTGAGCCACCGCACATAGTCCTAATTTTTGTATTATTAGGAAAGATGTGATTTCACCATGTTGTCCAGGCTGGTCTTGAACTCCTGACCTCAGGTGATCCACCTACCTTGGTCTCCCAAAGTGCTGAGATTACAGCTGTGAGCCCCCGTACCCGGCCTACCAGTGGTATTACCCAGGGATATGAATAGCTAAGCAATACCTTAGGCACAAAGCAGCACTATTATCAAGATGCAATATGTGAACTAATCTTTCTTCTAGCATCAGTTCAGAATTAATTTTAATCTACCTATTGTATACTGCTGCCAAAAACTCACTAACCACAATTAAAATGAAAGTACATGTGTAAATTTATGGATAGTAATACACAATCCAAAATATGAGTTTGCTATAAAAATACAATACATGGGTAGAATCATATTACTTATAAATAACCAGAACTGTTAATAAGAAATTAATATTAAAATTTACTGAATTTGAACTTTGATATTTCCATAACTGAACTAATTTAATAAGCCATGCTAACAAGTCTAAAATATCAAAGGAGAATAAGAATAAAGTTTATTATTAAACATAGAAGTTACAGCTAATCAACATACTTTCTTATATTTCTTGATAATACGTTGAATTTACCTTTCGAGCATGTTTTGAAGAGGTAGTCGATCTTTATGTCTCTTTTGAAGATATGATGAAATAGTTACATCTCTATTATGGAATAACATGAAGTGGTTTAAAAAATGAATGATGGGCTGTCTTATAGCAACGAGAGGGGTCAAGTGACACAACCAGCTGACTCCCGTAGCGGAAGTCACTGTGGGGGCCAGTTCTGGAGCTGTTGTAGCTTCGGTTGCCCGGCCGGGGACCCGAGCCGAACAGTTATCTTCAGAATGTCGGGCAAAGACCGAATTGAAATCTTTCCCTCGCGAATGGCACAGACCATCATGAAGGCTTGTTTAAAGGGAGCACAGACAGGTCGAAACCTCCTGAAGAAAAAATCTGACGCCTTAACTCTTCGATTTCGACAGATCCTAAAGAAGATAATAGAGACTAAAATGTTGATGGGTGAAGTGATGAGAGAAGCTGCCATTTCACTAGCTGAAGCCAAGTTCACAGCAGGTGACTTCAGCACTACGGTTATCCAAAATGTAAATAAAGCCCAAGTGAAGATTCGAGAGAAGAAAGATAATGTAGCAGGTGTTACTTTGCCAGTATTTGAACATTACCATGAAGGAACTGACAGTTATGAACTGACTGGTTTAGCCAGAGGTGGGGAACAGTTGGCTAAATTAAAGAGGAATTATGCCAAAGCAGTGGAACTACTGGTGGAACTAGCTTCGCTGCAGACTTCTTTTGTTACTTTGGATGAAGCTATTAAGATAACCAACAGGCATGTAAATGCCATTGAACATGTCATCATTCCCCGGATTGAACGTACTCTTGCTTATATCATCACAGAGCTGGATGAGAGAGAGCGAGAAGAGTGCTATAGGTTAAAGAAAATACAGGAGAAGAAAAAGATTCTAAAGGAAAAATCTGAGAAGGACTTGGAACAAAGGAGAGCAGCTGGAGAGGTGTTGGAGCCTGCTAATCTTCCAGCTGAAGAGAAGCATGAAGATCTTCTGTTTGAATAATCTTTCCTGTTCTGGTTCTCTTAGAAACCCTAACACTGGCTTCATTTTAATTCATAGTGTGTAGGTCTGATTTGTCTGGCTATTTGTTTTTTGGCCTAAGAATTTCACTGGTTGTAAAATTTACCTGGATGTCTGTTTATGGGATTACTTTTGCAGAATCATAATTTAGCAACCATTTATCATGGATGAAAGAGATCTGTAAAACCTGCCCAGGAACTTAAAGAATTTACTCTGAACCATTATCCAAAAAAAAAAAAAAAAAAAAACAAAAAACACAAAAATGAATGCTGTATGACCGGGTGCGGTGGCTCACACTTGTAATCCCAGCACTTTGGGAGACCGAGGTGGGTGGATTACCTGATGTCAAGAGTTCAAGACCAGCCTGGCCAATGTGATGAAACCCCGTCTCTACTAAAAACACAAAAATTAGCCACACACACAAAAAAATGTGGTGGGCGCCTGTAATCCCAGCTACTTGGGAGGCTGAAACAAGAGAATCACTTGAAGCTGGGAGGCAGAGGTTGCAGTGAGCCAGAATCGCACCATTGTACTCCAGCCTGGACACCAAGAGTGAAACCTTGTCTCAAAAAAAAAAAAAAAAAAAAAAAGATGAATGATATATTTCTAATTCTAGTGAGAAAGAAAGAGTATCAGTGCATATTGTCAAATGAAGAAGGCAATCTCCAAAGCAAAACCTATGTATGTTCCTACTTATTAAAACAAAAGCCACATATGTATCAAATGTACCTTTCTGTTATAATTTTATGAATGCACATGTTTGCAAATACATATATTCATATACATAAGACTTAGTCTAAACAGGAATATTCTTTCAGGAAGAATCTTGCTTCTCCTACAGAAAAGTATCTAACATGGCAGGGGCAAACATAATATTGGACCAAAAAAATCTGGACCTATGTCTATTAAATTGCTCACAGTGTTTATGTAATATTGGTGAAGGGAAGTAAAACTGAGGTTAGTGAAAGAGACTCCACATTTTACCCTAATACTTTTCTACTGTTTGAATTTTTTATAATTATAATACATTCAGGTATAATACATAATTTATATATAAATAGTATATATGTGTGTGTATATATATATTTTTAAATTTTTTAAAATAAGAAACAAGGTATTTTTCTGTCACCCAGGCTGGAGTACAGTGCTATGATCATAGCTCACTGTAACCTCGAGCTCCTAGGCTCAAATGATCCTCCCACCTCAGCCTCCTGAGTAGCTGAGACTACTGGTGCATGGCACTATGCCCAGCTAAGTTTCAAAATTTTTGTAGAAACAGGGTCTTGCTATGTTGCCCAGGCTGACCTTGAACTCCTGGCCTCAAGAGATCCTTTCCCCTCAGCCTCCCAAAGTGTTTGTATTACAGGCATGAGCCACTGTGCACAGCCTACTTATATTATTTAAAAAACAATTAATCAAATAAGTTGGTTAGGATTCGTTTCAGTGGCATAAACAGAAAGTTAAACAATGTGAAAGTTTATTTCTGTCTCCTTCTACCAGGTGAACACAGTGTTCATCCCCTCAGGAGGACACAGCTTTTGAGGTACCATCTTGGAAGCGGAGATCAGCCCTCACTAGACACAAACTTCCTGACACCTTGATTTTGGACTTCATAGCCTCCAGAACTGTGAGAAATAAATTTCTATTATTTATAAATTACCCAGTATTGGATATTTTGTTATAGCAAATAGCAGCACAAAAAATCTAAGACAATGACTGAGAGACAGAGCTATAAGACTCAAAAGACCCTGGTCTTGAAGCCAGAAAGACCTGGCTTTGCCAGTAGCATGGTGTTTCAATAAAGTATGATTAAACACTCTTTGAGGGACTAGAAAGGGGAAGGAATAATGGAGATGGATCATTTGTTTCATGCCTTTTACTTACATTTAAGGAATTATGAGCAGGTGCCTACGGATTTTTGGAATATGCTTCTCTAACGCTATAAAAACTAGAAAGTGAAACTTATAGCCACAAATGTCAGTTTGAAATTTCTAATGACAATAGAAGAAATTATGTAGACTCTCTCCTAAACTATTACACCATCAATCATTGCAAAACATTTTTTTTTTTTCATTTTGCCCAACTTCTACTCCTGTCATTCTGCCCACTCCTATAGTATCTAAAATGTAGTTTCTGTTAGAGAGAATGGTGCACCACTCAACTCATCAGCTTGAGGGCTTTGAATGGTGTTTTCTTTTTTTTTTTATTTCATGGCAAGCTGACTTACAAGTGACTCAACGGTAAGCTAAGATTTATTTTAACCACCAAAGATAATGAATTCGAACAATGTTACTTACAGTCCTTAATATCACAGCTCTTACAAACATTGAAATACACATTTTTCACCTGCTAGTCATCTTCAGTAATATTCTGGAGAGGAAACATTCTTTCCTGTCCTTACAGTGGTTGTATATCTTAAAAGAGGACTGTATGACACTTGAATATTGATATTCTACCTTAACCAAAGCAGTCACAAGAATACAAGCCATTGGCCTCTGGCCTTTTAGATATGTTCCTAACAAGTTCATATGTACCCAATGAAAAATGTTAAATGAACTGATAAATTTTAAACATTTAAAAATATTTTATTTATTTACTTGCTACAGCTAGATAAGAGGAACTGGGTTACTTTTGAAACTCTCAGTTTCCTTTCCTCTAAACCAGTAGCTATTGCTGGCCACTAGTATGTTGTTTCCTTTGCAGGAAGTTGCAAAAATGAGAAAGAAAAAAAAACAAAAAACAAAACCAAGTTGGTATTATTTTTAGCTTTCTTCTTATTTGGATATAGCTACAGTTCTTTTTCTTATGGTGATTAACTTAACTATTCAAGAGAGAAAAATGAAGCAAAGGGGACTAGCAGGGAATTAGTAGGGAATTGTGCCAAAGGACATATGGCAAGGTTATTGTCAAAAAGCTGAGCTGCTGAAATCCAGACAGTTTAAGAGCTTATCTGCTCTGCTCTTCTCCCACTTAGGAGGACTCTTACTACAATGCAAAGACTCAAGTTCACCTTAATTAGGTCTTTCCCAGGCCAGGTATTAGTGCCCTTGGGAAAAAAATTTAAGCTTTTCAGCTTCAGATCTTCCTCTGAATATTAGCACTATGGTAACAGTGGTACCTAACCCTTTGAGGGTCCAAGATTGTTTTAACGGTGAATGATTTACAAACTGAGTTTAAAATAGCAAGGAGGATCCAATTTTGCAAAATTTCATCTAATTCTGCTTAAGAAAACAGTATATTATATTAGCTTAGATCAGGAGTTGGGAAACTGCTACCATTTATTGTATAGCCTGCAAATGGGTTTTACATTTTTAATACACTGGAAAAAAAAGTAAAGAAGACTATTATTTCATAATGTGAAAATTATACGTGTTGAAAGGAAATCTTTAGAGGTTAATTGAGCAAAGAATGATTTGTGAATTAGGCAGCCCCCAGAACCAGACTAGGGTTGGTTACAGCTGGGCATTTACCTTATTTGAACCTGGTTTGAAGAGTTGGCTGCCTGTGGTTGGCTGAAGTTCGGCTGCTGTGACTGGCTGAGACTCGCTACTTGTTACAAGAGTAGGTTACAGTCTGCTTTACACATCAAGTTGAGTTATAGTTTTTTATGTACTGGGAAACCTTTAGGGCAAACTTAAAATATGTAAGGAGGCAGCTTTAGGCCACACTGAATTTAACATTTCCTCCTTTTGGTCAACCTCTCCATTTTGAGAGAATGATTAATTTTGAGGTTGCCCAAAACTTCAGGCATTGACATCACTTTTTATCATCATAAATAGAGTTATTTGGTCTCTAATCCCATTGGAAAATAGCAGAACACTGGGTTTTGTAAGGTGGGAACAAGGAAACACAATAGGGGGGAAAAAAAAAAAAACTGGTTAACATCAGATTACTTTTTTATTTTTTTTGAGATGGAGTTTCACCCTGTCATCCAGGCTGGAGTGCAGTGGCACGATCTTGGCTCACTGCAACCTCACCTCTCGGGTTCAAGCGATTCTCCTGCCTCAGCCTCCCGAGTAGCTGGGACTACATACGTGTGCCACCATGCCCAGCTAATTTTTGTATTTTTAGTGGAGACAGGATTTTGCCATGTTGGCCAGGCTAGTCTTGAGCTCCTGACCTCAGGTGATCCACCCGCCTTGGCTTTCCAAAGTGCTGGGATTACAGGCATGAGCCACTGTATCCGGCCAAGGTTAGTTTTTTGTAAGTAATCTGTTGTTACTTCGGATTACTTTTCTGTAAGGGATAGAGCAGAGGGGACTTCCTTATTATACTGGAATCTCCTGTTTTCAGGAGAAGAAAAAAAAACTCGTCTATTTTGGGACCTGCTTTTTAAAGTTTTAGTTCAATTTTGTGGTGCTTAGCATGAGTGACTCCATTTTGGTTTGGTCTGGTCTACTTGGGACTAGTGCAGGAGCTCAGTCCAAAACAGTGGCCTCTCATAATTTTAATACAGAAATTCAAATTTCAAACTTGTAGACATTTGATTTCTCTCTTATTATATAAGTACCTACACAATGTCCTTAAATTTGCTTTTTGATCTGTAAAGACTAAGATATTTATCATCTAGTTTTACAGAAAAGTTTGCAGGTCTTCTGGTTTAAAACAGCATGAGATTTAGTGTCAAGCAGGTTTGGATTGAGCCCAAGGGCTGCCATTTACTGATTGTATGACTTTGAGCAAGGTATTTGTCTTTTCTAAGCCTCAATTTCCTCATCTATAAAATGGGCATACAAATAGTATTTACCTTGGAGAGTTAAATGGGATAATGCATTTAATGTGCTTAACGCAGTGCCTATCAGATGCTTAGAGGCTCAACACATTATTATTATTGTTACTGTTGTTGTTTTAACCTAAAGTAAATGAGATGAAACAAAATAGCAAAGCTAAATGAGGAGGAATTTTTAAGTTACATCAGAAACTGTAATAGATCCTAAAATATTATAATTAAGAAATTTCATACTTATTTAAAAAGGCATTTTAAATTTAACAATGAGAAAGCCTCACTCAGAATAGATAACCCTCTTATATGTTTAAAAAAAAAGAAAAGAAAAGAAAAGCCCAGCGCAGTGGCTCACGCCTGTAATCCCAGCTCTTTAGGAGGCTGAGTAGACGGATCATGAGGTCAGGAATTCAAGACCAGCCCGGCCAACATGGTGAAACCTCGTTTCTACTAAAAATACAAAAATTAGCCGGGCGTGGTGGTGGGAGTAGTAGTAATCCCAGCTACTCAGGAGGCTGAGGCAGGAGAATCGCTTGAACCTGGGAGGCAGAGGTTTCAGTGAACCAAGATCGTGCCACTGCACTCCAGCCTGGGCAACAGAGCAAGACTCCATCTCGAAAAGAAAAAAGAAATAAAAATAAAAAGTCATGCCCAGCTATTTTGGGAGAACTGAGATTATAAATCTATCTGAGAAAATAAAATGACAGCACTCCACAGAATCCATGGATAAAAATTTGACTGAAGAGGAATATGGAACAGACTAAAGGAAAAATTTTATCAAGCTGTAATCTTTATACTTGTACCTAAGGCCAGAACTTGAAACTGTTGAAGACAGTGTTTCTCTACAAATGCACGCAGGCACCCCATTTTGATGCACAGATAGGCCTTTATTTCTTTTAAGAATAGCAGCTTTATTGAGATAAATTTCACATATGATACAATTCACCAATTTAAAGTGTACAGTTTAATGGTTTTCAGTATAATCAGAGTTGTACTACCATCACCATTATCAATTTTAGAACATTTTCATCACCGCCCAACAACCATTGTAGTCTCTCCCCAGCCCTCCACTCCTGGGAACCATTAATGTACTTTCTGTCTCTATAGATTTGCCTATTTTGGATATTTCATATAAATGGAATCATACAACATGTTGTCTTTGTGAATAGCTTTTTTCACTTACCATAATGTTTTCAAGATTGATTCGTTTTGTAGCAGGTATCAGTCCTTTTTCCTGTTTATTGCCAAATAATTTTCCATTGTATGGATAGATCATATTTTGTTTATCCATTTGTCATATTTTGGTTGTCTATCAGTTGATAGATATTTGTGGTGCATTTAATTTTTGGCCAATGTGTAAAACTTATTTTGCTCTGACTGAGGCTGCATACTGTTACAATAATGCTGTTTGGTCAACTTGACCGAGCTGGCCTCACAGGTTACAGGTTGCTCATTGTTAGAGATGAGACTTTAGACCAGACTGGACAACGTAGTGAGACCCTGTCTCTACCAAAAAGAAAAAGAAAAATTAGCCAGATGTAATGGCATATGACTGGAGTCCCAGCTACTTGGGAGGCTGAGGTGGGAGGATAACTTGAGCCCAGGAGTTTAGGACTGCAGTGAGCTGTGATCGTGCCAATGCACTCCATGCTGGGTGACAGAGTGAGACCCTGTCTCAAAAAACAGAAAGAGGGATTTTAGTATAACGTTCAGCCAGTGCCATATTGGGAACCCACAAGAATGTACTTTAAAAAATATGTAAAAGAAGGTGGTGAGGGCTGTAATAGCTACTATTCAGGCAGTAATGCAGTGCTGAAAGGACATCAAGCAAATAGTGTGATGCCTGTGGGTGCAAAGTTACTCCTTCCTTTAGGTTGTCAAAAAAAATCAATACTTCATAGCATTCCTGAAACGAAAAAGCTTGTGAACCATTGTGTTTAGGGCTTAATGCTATTTATTTTGGGCTGCCCATCACAGCTTTTCTCCTTTGGTAGAATGAAGTGAACTGAACCACCATGCCTAAGGTATTTGCCTCATTTCTTCCTCAGCTGGTTAATGATTACATTGTCAAAGCTGGCAAAGCATTCAAGTCCTGATTTCTCAGACTGAGTGTATATGTGAATATATTATACTCATTTGCACAAATATAAACCCCCTGTCTTAACTGTGTTCTGCAAAAGGTGTGATAAATACCGCAAAGAAAAATTTCAAGTTATATATCCTTATCAGTAGAACTAATGGAATACATACAGTATATTTTATGGGGAATTTCAGAGAAGGAAGGAAAAGTCAACCTTTTATTTGGCACCAGGATAGTAGTAAAACATTCTATTTGTGCATCAGATAGATTTTTATGGCCTAACCTGGACAAGTAACTCTTGGTGCCTCATGTTTGAAAGAGGGATAACACTTCACAGGGTTATTCTAAGAATTAAATATTGTCAAAACACATGAAAACGTTCTCAATCTTGTTAGTAATCAAGGAAATGCAAATGAAGATCACAATGAAGTCTTTTGTACTCAATTGATTGGTGAAAAATTAAGGCCTGATAATACTGACATACAGACCAATGAGATCTCTTATAATTTGCTGGGAAAATGTATCAATTTGTACAAACATTTTGAAAAATAATTGTGCACTTCCTTGCAAAGTATAACATTTGAATAACCTAGGACCCAGCAATTCAACTCTTACACAGACTCCCAAGAGAAAGTTGCACACACATACATCAGGAAAAATGTTCGTAGCAGCCCTGATCATAAGAGCAAAACCTCGAACAATCGAGAGGAAATGAATAAATTGCCCTGTAGCCACACAATAGAATACTAGACAGCAGTGATGCTGAAAGATATACCAAGCCTCAGGAGTTTATATAGTATATGGATAATTTTATGAAGTTCAAAAACACCCAAAATTAAACAACATATTATCTAAGTACATAAGTGATATATGTGATAAAACTAAAAAGAAAAGACGGAATGATCGGCAATCCAAAACCAATTCATGATTGTTGTTACTATCTTACAGGACAGGTTGTGGATTGGAAGCAGGGTTGGTGCACGCAGGTACATGTAACTTACTGGTAATGTTCTTAGGTTAGGGATCAGATCAAAGAAGTTCACTATAAATTTATATTAGAAAGGAGGGCTACTATGGATTAGTAATGAGAGTGTCATTAACCAGCAAATATAATTAATGAACTTAGGTTACCTGAGATCCAAATAAATAATGAGAAAAAAGTAAATAAATGTGATGCATGAATACAAAATTTGGAATTACCTATATAATATGTAATAATAAAAAAAGAAAAAAGTGTCACTGGTTATCCTTCAGGTATAAAAATTACAATTAAAATTCTAATGTTATAATCTTCCATTCTTTCCCCTATGAATTAAAACTTTTTTTTTTAAACGAGACTAAAAGGTCAGGTTGATAAAGTCTATGCCCTGTGGGAACTGGTTAGGTCAGGCTACCCACTCCAGATTTCCAGCAGGCTGGCCTCAGCCCTACCCACAGCCAGTAGCTTATTAAGGCTATAGGCGCCTGTGACACCTTCAGACAGGTGGTCAGTGCGCCCTAAGGACTCTCCGCAGCGTCGCTCAGGTTTACAGAACATGCCCAGGGGCGTGTCCAGCCTCCGTCTGGGAGAGACCACCTCCCTGGGGGGTGTGGCTAAGGGAAGAGGCAGTTCTTGTCCAGAGCCCAGGTAATCGGGGCGGGATCAACTAGCGTCGCGGTGTGATGACGTCACGCCCTGGCCAGGCCTGGAGTGGCGTGCTGGGCGTGCGCGGCTGCGGTATGAAGTGTTGGTCCCAGCGTTTCAGCTGAGGTACGGACGTGCTCTAGGCCGGAATGTTACCGACTGTCGGATCTGTGGATGAGGAAGAGGATCCTGCGGAGGAGGATTGTCCTGAATTGGTTCCCATTGAGACGAAGCAAAGCGAGGAGGAGGAAAAGTCTGGCCTGGGCGCCAAGATCCCAGTCACAATTATCACCGGGTATTTAGGTAACTAACCATCCCGGTCACAAAATGCCGTGAACTCTGGTGTCCTGGGATTTTGGGGGCTGCTGGTGCCTCTTCTCCGGAGGCATTGGGGTCTCATGATCAAGAGCAAATGGCTTTGAGGTAGGGGCTGGGTCACTTGCTCCTGGTATGGGTTCCCTCTCATCTTGGGGGTTTAGTGATGCCCGGTCCCCTCTGCGTTAGACTCCCATTTCTCAAGTGAGATCGAAATTAGCCTTTGAAACAAGGCTTTGAAGCTCAGACACGCCCCCCTAATTATCTCTGTGACCTCTTAGCAAGTTATCTTACCTTCCTGACGCTCATCCACCTCACCTGAAAATGGCAAAAATACCTGTCACCTGTGAAATAGGGCCGGAACCACCTACCTATTGCCATTAAAGGACGTCCCATGTGTAAAATGCCCCACATGTGGGGCTTTCCTCAGTAGATTCCGCTTCCCCACAAGCCAAAGTCCTCCAGCCAGTTAGCGGGAAGTGCTCCTATCTCAAACACCTTTTTTTTAAAAATTTTTTTGAGGTCTGTTTGTAAACCGCTGCGTAGGAAGTAAGAATAAAATCTCTGTCCTCCAAGACTATTTCTCAAACTAAGAACGTTTATGAGTGTACAGGGATAACTCAAAACCACAAGTTTGTGAACCTGGTAGTTTCGTGAAGGGCGGTTTATGCACTTACAGTAGACATTTCTTACTGGAAAAGTTTGAGAAATATATTTTTAAACCTTACTGTTAAATAGAAGGGCTAGAACAAATATATGAGTGTATTAGAAGTTTGAAAAAAGTTAAGAAATGTAAGTACAATGGTACTGTTTCAGAGAAATAATATTCCTAGGTGTTGCTAGAGACAGGTACAGACTTGGGCCACCTCATGACCTTTTATGTAAAAATACGAACTTTTTTGTTTTTTTTTTAACTTTGTAGACTGTAAGTTTATTCCCGTTTCTTGCTCGAAAGTAATTTCATAAAGGAATGGATTTTTGGCATTTCCCTAGTTATTCAGAGGCTGCTCTACTGAGAAGATGAACAAATTTCTTGTCCAAAACAATGTATTTCAAACGTGCCCCTCGGGCCTTTCCCGTGTGTTGCTCACCGGTAGATCAGCTGATCATTGGAGAAAATTATCTGAAGCTCAGGAGTGAGGACTAATACCAGCAAACCTGTTCCTGAATCTAGGGATAGTTTCACTCCTATCACTGACCATTTTCCCTTTTTGAAGCACTGTTCCGTTGACTTCTATTACGTTTTTCTTCTGATTTTTCCACCTGCTTCTCTGGCTTCTTTTTAAGGCTCCCTCCTCCTTCCCTCTTTGTCCCTCTTTAGCTACACATCTGTGTAATTTCTATTTTGATGTCCTACAACTTAAACCTTAACATGTCTGAAACTTCATCCGTTACCATCCCCCCAAATCCTGCTCCTGTGATCCCAACCATTTGGAATACTCTAAAAGCCTCCTGACTAATCTGGAGTCTTGTTGCCCTTTAATTTATTCCTTGCCTTAATTAGCCTTAATGATCTTTATGTCAGTCCGATTGCGTCACACCTTTCAGTGGCGTCCATATGGGTTAAAGTTCAAATTCCTTAACATGCATTACAAGGACCTGTAGGATCTGGATCTTGCCAACCTTTCCAGCGTGCCAAATTGGCTCTGCACAATGAACTAATGTTACTTCAAAGGTGCCAAGTATTTTTGCCCCTTGGAATAGGTACTTTTTTACTGTGACTCCTCTGGCTAGATGTCCCTTTTAGGTTCTCCATAGCATTTCGTACATCTCCTGTTGAATATGTCATCCTGTGACAGAATTGCCTCCTTATTCACTGAATTCCCCTCCATTCCCCGCTTCCCTTGATATTTCTAAGCTCTGTGAAGGCAGAGGCTGTCTTGTTCACTTTTTCACAAGGCCCAGCATAAATCTGTTACATATTAGAAACCTTGGAATGAATGAACTATGTCTTAAAGTGTTTTTCTTCATAATATGGTTAAAAAGCCCTAATAAGTCTTCTCTTAGGAGATTTCTTACATTCACCCTTTCCTTTCAGTTTTCACATCAGTGCCCTGTGAAACACTCATGTTCAGGGCCTCTGTCTCAATCTTGGACTGGTTTTAAGATTTTTCTCATTGCCCAAAGTCTCTTCCATTCTATACTTCATACTTTTGTGATGTTGAGCCTCCTGAAGTACTCTAAATATAAGCCTTCATCTCTTAAAAAGCTTTGAAAGGAATATGATCTCAAAGATATTAATACCCTAATACTTTGTAAAATCGTCCTAGTTATAGGAAGATCTAGTTGTATACTAGAAAACTTAATATATTTCAGAAGACATGTATATCGCCTACATGTAAAAGTTTTTAGCAGCACTGTAATAGTAAAACACTGGAAACGATGTCCAACAAAAAAAAGATAAAGAAATGATATAGTCATACAATTGAACTACATACAATACTATGCAGTTAGGGTTCTCTTTTTTTCGTCTATGAACTTTAGTGTGTATGGTTCACAAGACTCTTCTACTCAAGATTGACATATTCGGTTTCACATGCCACCTGCTGGATAAAGTTGGTATAGCTCTATGAATTTATCTTTACTGAACATTCTGTCCGTTGTTGACACTACCTGCCTCTATTTCTCATTTCATAAAAACTTTTATAGATTGTTTAAAGCATACTATAAGTAGCCATATACTCAGCCTTAATTTGCCTCTGGTTAATGTTGAAATAAAAGGTCATTATAAATAAAAGATCATTGTGTGTAAATTTTAGGAAAGGTTAGGCTAGGTTGAAGAAACTGTTTCAACTTGTAGGAGTATTTGTAAATATTTATAAAATTGTATGTCTACATAAAGTATTTTGCAATAGGTTTCAAAGGGTGCTTTAATCTTATCCTCTAGGATGTTCTATACTGTACTTAAATAATATATGAAAAATAGCATGCAAATTCTCAAAAACATTAGGATTCTTTATATCTTTTTCATATCTTTAAAATTACTTTGAATTTTTTATTTACAAAAAATGCTTTATAGGTGCTGGGAAGACAACACTTCTGAACTATATTTTGACAGAGCAACATAGTAAAAGAGTAGCAGTCATTTTAAATGAATTTGGGGAAGGTAAGTAAAGTTCAATAAATGTCATGTTGCAAGATTTTATGTGACTTTCTTCCTCTGGTGAGTTGATATTCCATGTTTAAAAATGAAAATGCAAGGTATTATACTGATGTGGATAGCTTTGAAAAAATTAGATTAATTTCTGTTAAGATTTATATGGGTTGAAAATACTGAAATTAGTTTTAATAAAATTTTATTTTGTGTAACTTTGGAATTCTTATTAATAGAATTAAACTAGATTTTTACATGAAATAAATGACTCCAGAAGTAAAAATCTAGACATATGAAAAAACGGTTTTTTTTTTTTAATTTTTCTTTTTGAGATGGAGTCTCTCTGTGTTGCCAGGCTGGAGTGCAGTGGCACAGTCTCAGCTCACTGCCACCTCTGTCTCCCGGGTTCAAGCGATTGCCCTGCCTCAGCCTCCCGAGTAGCTGGGATTACAGGCGCGCGCCACCACACCTAGATAATTTTTGTATTTTTAGTAGAGATAGGGTTTCACCATGTTGTCCAGGATGGTCTTGAGCTCCTGGCCTCATGATCTGCCTGCCTCGGCCTCCCAAAGTGCTGGGATTATAGGCGTGAGCCACCACGCCCAGCCAAAAAATGTTTTTTTTTGGAACTAGAAAGACACTTCTGTATGGACTTTATTGCAACTCATGAAAAATATTTGAAAATGCTTCTAAGTTTACTTTGTTTAATGTTTATTATCTGCAATGCAGTTAAAACTCAAGATTTTAAAAATAAGATAAACATATGGTCTTTATGCTCATGTATCTTAAATTATCTGTGAAAATAAGTGTGCTTAACTTCTCAACTCAAATATTAAACTGTAGTTAAAAAAATAGTGCTAGACACAATACTTCTATTATCTTTATAGGAGTTTTTCTTCGTAAGTATGAATTATAATCAAAGCTCACTTCTAGCCAAAAAACAATATCTATTAAACGATTTCTTTTAAACATACTTTTTTTTTCAGTTGTAAAAAGTAAAAGAGCTAGGTTTTATGAACAGGATGGGAAACCTGTTATATTCGATTTCTAGTTTTAATAAACTAAAGAGAAAAGTGCTTTTTAGGCAAAAATTCTGAGATTTCTAATAACAGACTGTTTTTTTCCATCATCTTATTAAATAACCTATTGCACACTGATTACATTTATTCTTACTATTTTCTTTATTTTTTCCTGGACCATTTTCGCAATTTTATTTTTCATGGCATTCTTAACACTTTCCTTCATGTTTCATTAACGTTCTGTATGTAGTCTGAATTCTGTAGCAACCCCTTTAGAAGCTCTTTATTAATACCTAGCTGAAATATGATAAAAACTATGGAAGTGTAAAACTACTCAATTTTATGGGGGCTCATTTGCTTACTGGACTTTTAGAACTCTTCACCGTTTGGTATATTTCTTTATTAGAGGAAAAGTAAAACATTTAAAATAATTCTTATAGATAACAAGCATTTCAAATATAGTTTATTCTTTCTTAAGTAAGTATTGCTAGGAAAATATGTGAATTTAACTATTTATTATTTATTTATTTATTTATTTATTTTTTTTTTTTGAGATGGGGGAGTCTCGCTCTGTCATCCAAGCTGTTGCTCAGGCTGGAGTGCAGTGGCAGTCTTGGCTCACTGCAACCTCCGCCTCCTGGGTTCGAACAGTTCTCCTGTCTCAGCCTCCCGAGTAGCTGGGACTACAGGCACCCGCCACCACGCCCGGCTAATTTCTATATTTTTAGTAGACATGGGGTTTCCCCATGTTGGCTAGGCTGGTCTCGAACTCCTGACCTCAGATGATCTGCCCGCCTCAGCCTCCCAAAGTGCTGGAATTACAGGCGTGAGCCACGGCATCCGGCCTATCAGTTTAATTTTCTTTTTTTTTTTTTTTTGGAGTCTCGCTCTGTCGAGACTCCAGGCTGGAGTGTAGTGGTGCCAGCGATCTCAGCTCATTGCATGCTCCGCCTCCTGGGTTCAAGCCATTCTCCTGCATCAGCCTCCCAAGTAACTGGGACTACAGGCGCCCCCCACCATGCCCGGCTAATTTTTTGTAATTTTAGTAGAGACGGGGTTTCACCATGTTATCCAGGATGATCTCCATTTCCTGACCTCGTGATCCGCTTGCCTTGGCCTCCCTATAAGTTTAATTTGTAAATGAGCACATGATACACTGGCCAAAAACCTTCCTCAAGATGAACTAGGGGTTTTTACTCATTGGGAATATTCAGCCATTTGTCTAACAGAAACAATTTAGAAGATTGAAAAGAAAAAGATAGATAAGGCAATCTCATAAGAGGTTGAAGGGCATACAAAGTCCAGTATATAAAACATACTAGTTTATTTAGAAAGTTTACCCTGAACAAGAAAAAAAATGCCTTTAAGATAGCTACTTTATTAAGAAATGGGGGTGGCCAAGTAAGAGGCCTGAGGAGGAAGTAGGTATGTTTATCAGTTTAGGATGTGTCTTTTTAAGGGCTTAAGTCATCTTAAATAAAAGCTAAAATAGTGTACTGTAATTTAGATATTGAGACTGCATGAATAAAATGAAAAAATATGTTATAAAATTCTGTTTCTGCTTTAAGATCTCCATTATTGAGTTATCCTTATCCTTGTTTTTTGTTGGCTAATGAACATAAGCTAAAGAGTGCTGTTTGTTAATTATTCTAGGAAGTGCGCTGGAGAAATCCTTAGCTGTCAGCCAAGGTGGAGAGCTCTATGAAGAGTGGCTGGAACTTAGAAATGGTTGCCTCTGCTGTTCAGTGAAGTGAGGAATGTGTTTACTTACTATGTACATGGTTTACTAGAAATGTTTAGATTATATTTCCAGCTTTAATTTTCTTGAGTAATTTAACTGAAACACAGTTTGCTTCATTGTATTTTCAAACAAACAGAAAGTTTGTAGAAAATAAACTTATTAGGAAGCATTTTCTTAAAGTGTTTCTTGCTGTCTTTTCTATCTGCTCTAATGTTTTGGTCCTTTTATTGAGTTTTTATTGCTTTTGATGTCAGGACTTATTTAATTAATCTCTAGTGCATGAAAGTCTCCTATGTAAAAAATGATTATTCTGAATTAATACATCATTGGTCATATTTCCAAGTGTTCAACCTTATAAAAACAAAAAGTAAATGACTATCAAAACAGAGAAAAACCTTACATTATGTTCCACTAGTTAAGTTTCCAAGAACAGTGTCTGTTCACTAGTCTACCATAGACCCTATAAGAGTTACCCAACACATAGTAGCACTCAAGTATTTGTTGAATGAATTATAAAAATGATTGCTTGTATTGTTAATTTTGTGTATTCTAGTGAATTAAATCTCTTCGGCATCATTTACCCCCTTAAGTATTTGACTTTGTTTCAAATGTATTGGCAAGGATGAAATTATAACAGACTCTTGAACAATCAAAATGTAATCTATTAAGTATTTTCCTTCACTTTTGATAAAATAAGAAAAAAGGGAAATTAAAACCTTGTATCCTAATGCAAAATAGAATTAAGTGGTATATAATATCAGTGTCCCTTTAGCTATTATATTAAACTACTATAGTTAATAAATTTTATCATTATTTTGGATATTGGTTTTTAAAAATTTCATAAAGCTATAAAAAGATACTGACTTGGTCAGATAAAGTTTCCTCTGCTTTTAATTTTAATAAAGTATTATTATGTATATGATTTCTTTTTACCTATTTTATATATGCATCTATTGTTTTCTCAGTGGTAAATATGGGACAGACATTTTGTTAGAAGGTTAGTAGTGAGTTAAATTTTCACATTCCTAAGGATACTTTTGTCTCAAGTTGTTGAATATATTTTAAAATGTGTATAATAATCACTTCAAAATATTTAGGTAATCAACTGTAAATTATGTTTTGGTATTCTCCAGGGACAATGGCCTTAGAGCTATTGAGAATTTGATGCAGAAGAAGGGGAAATTTGATTACATACTGTTAGAGACCACTGGATTAGCAGATCCTGGTAAGAAGTGAGATTATTAATAACCAGAATATAGTTCTGTGATATATTATAAATAGATGTATTAGAGGAATATCTAAAATGAGTATTAAAGCTTTACTTAGGGTTAAAACTTTTTTTGGTTTAAAAGAGGAAAAGTACTCGGTTGTCATTTTCTTTGGCAGATGAATGAATAATCAGAGTATTGCTTGGTACTTTTAAGCTGTTAATAGAATTTGAAGTTTTATTGATTGACTTAGGATTGTTTGTAAGAACAGAAGTTGTTAAAAATAGGACATGTAGGAAAAGCAGAGACGTTCTACCTCTTGAGTACAGTTGTCCCTTGGCATCCATAGGATATTAGTTCCAGGACCTCTGAGGATACCAAAATCTATGAATGTTCAAGTCCCTTATATAAAATGGTGTAGTATTTGCCTATAACCTATGCACATCCTCCCATATACTTTAAGTCATCTATAGATTACTTTTAATACCTAATATAAGTGCTGTGTAAGTAGTTATTAGACTGCATTGATAAGGGAATCATGACAAGAAACTCTAAACTCTACTATGGAAAGCTACACAGAGTCAACCTATTTCTAACAATGGGTTTCTGTTACCTTCTTACCAAGCTCCAATTCTTGATAAAATCTGCTTATTTTCCCCAAATAACTTTTAGATAAAATCTTTATTTTCAGTTTGCATAACAGTTAGTGCTTGTTCTGTGAATCTCACCCATACCATTATTATTATTTTTTTAATCTGGGTCTCTGGCATTGGGGCGATTTGTAAAACTATATTAAAGTATTTGGGGGTAATTTACTAACAGGTCATAGTTGTCCAAAAGAAATACTGAAGTATCCTGAGGGTTCAGATGTGATCAGTGGTTATTGTACTTAAAACAATTACATAATAACATCATCCTCGTGTTTACAAAGTAGTATTGAATTAGGCTATTTCGGTCCTTATAGTAGGCATGGGTTTTTCATACCTTTTTGATAAATCTGAGTGATGATAGGACTTGGACTAATATGTTGGTGTTAAATATTATTTGAATCTGGTAAGAAAGAAAAATATATTGTATGCTTTTTATTAGAAATAGCAAATATCAGTTTATTTCATCATAGCCAGTTTTGCCACTTTATAGACAAAAACTCTATACTTTTGAGAGAGTTTAATTAAACACAATTCAGCTTTTCAGAGGAAGAAAGAAAAACTAAAGGTCACAGAGAAAGCTTTTCTACAAATTGTAGTTATAAAAAATGTTAATGTTTCTTGGTTTTAACTTTCTTTACAATAATGATTTTATTGTTTGGGTAAAGATGGAACATTCATTGTAAAAAAATTTAAATACCTAAAAAATACAAAGAAGAAAGTTGAAAAGTAATCATCTCACTATTGTGATATACAAATAGGGGCTGGGCATGGTGGCTCATACCTGTAATCCCAGCACTTTGGGAGGCCGAGGCAGGTGGATCCCTTGAGGCCAGGAGTTCAAGACCAGCCTAGCCAACATGGTGAAATCCAATCTCTATTGAAAATGCAAAACCTAGCCTGGTGTTGTGGCACAGGCCTTAATCCCAGCTACTCAGGAGGCTAAGGCACGAATGCTTGAAAGCTGGGAGGCGGAGGTTGCAGTGAGCCGAGATCACACCACTGCACTCCAGTCCGGGTAACAGAGCAAGACTGTCTATATATGTATATACACATATATATACACACACACATACACACACACAAGTAGGTAAATTTTATTCCGGGGATCTCTCTATGCCAGTGCTACTTGGTAGTATGTTGAATGGCAGGCAGCCTCAGCCTCAGCTGGGAGCTTGTTAGAAACGCAAATTCTTGGCTGGGTGCGGTGGCTCAAGCCTGTAATCCCAGCACTTTGGGAGGGCGAGACGGGCGGATCACTAGGTCAGGAGATCGAGACCATCCTGGCTAACACGGTGAAACCCCGTCTCTACTAAAAAATACAAAAAACTAGCCGGGCGAGGTGGCGGGCGCCTGTAGTCCCAGCTACTCGGGAGGCTGAGGCAGGAGAATGGTGTAAATCTGGGAGGCGGAGCTTGCAGTGAGCTGAGATCAGGCCACTGCACTCCAGCCTGGGCCACAGAGCGAGACTCCGTCTCAAAAAAAAAAAAAAAAAAAAAGAAACGCAAATTCTTGACCTCCAACCCAGATCTACTGAATCTGAATCTCTAAGGGAGGGGGTCCAGCAAGCTGTTTTAATAAGCCCTTCAGGTGATTCTTATACTGTACAGCCATACAGCAGGAATATTGTGGGCTTAGTTCCACATCACTACAGTAAACTGAATATCACAATAGAGTGAGTAACACACATGTTTTTGTTTCCCATTGGATATAAAAGTTATGCGTTTTGGCCTGTAGTTCCAGCTACTTGGGAGGATCACTTGAGCTCAGGAGTTTGAGGCTGCAGTGAGTCATGATTGTACCACTGCACTCCAGCCTGGATGACAGCATGAGACCCCATCTCTTAAAAAAACAAAATAAAACAAAAAAACTGTGTTTATACTATACTGTAATCTGTTAAATGTGTAATAGAATTGTCTAAAAAACATACCTTAATTAAAAATATTTATTGCTAAAAAATGCTAACAATCATCTCAGCTTTCAGCAAGTCATAATCTTTTTGCTGGTAGAGGGTCTTGCCACAATTTAGGGTGCTGACCAATCAGGGTAGTGGTTACTGAAGGTTGGAGTGGCTGTGGCAATTTCATAAGATAATAATGCAGTTTGCTGCATTAGTTGACTCTCCCTTTCATAAAAGATATCTCTTTAGCACATGATGCTATTTGATAGCATTTTACCCACAGTATAACTTCTTTCAAAATTGGACTCAGTCCTCTCAAACCCTGCTTTATCAATTAAACTTCTGTCATATTTTAAATCCTTTGTTGTCATTTTGACAGTGTTCATAGCATCTTCACCAGGAGTAGATTCCATCTCAAGAAACCACGTTTTTTTTCCCCTCCCTAAGAAACAACTTCTCATTAGTTAAAATTTTATGAGATTGCAGGAATTGAGTCACATCTTCAGACTCCCCTTCTAATTCTAGTTCTTTTGCTGTTTCCAGCACATCTGCAGTTATTTCTTCCACTGAAGTCTGGAATCCCTTAAAATCATCTGTGAGGGCTGGAATCATCTTTCAAACTCCTATTCATGTTGATATTTTGATCTCCCATGAATCACAAATGTTCTTAATGGCATCTAGAATGATGAATCCTTTCCAGAAGGTTTTCAGTTTACTTTGCCCAGATCCATCAGAGGAATCACTATCTATGGCAGCTATAGCCTTATGAAATATATTTCTTAAATAAGACTTGAAAGTCAAAGTTACTCCTCGATCAATGGGCTGCAGAATAGATGTTGTGTTAGCAGGCATGAAAACAACATTAATCTCCTTGTACATCTCCATCACAGCTCTTGGGTGATCAGGTGCATTGTCAATGAGCAATAATATTTTGAAGGAATCTTTTTTTTTTCCTAAGCAGTAGATCTCAATGGTGGGCTTAAAATAAGCCATGCTGTAAACAGTAAACCATGCTGTAAATAGATGTGCTGTCATCTAGGCTTTATTATAGAAAACAGGCAGAGGAGATTTAGCATAATTCTTAACGGCCCTAGGATTTTCAGGATGGTAAATGATTATTGGCTTCAACTTGAAGTCACCAGCTGCTTTAGCCTCTAACAAGAGGGTCAGCCTGTCCTTTGAATCTTTGAAGCTAGGCATTGACTTCTCTTTAGCTATGAAAGTCCTAAATGGCGTCTTCTTCCAAAAGGAGTCCATTTAATCTCCGTTAAAAATCTGTTGCTGGCCAGGTGCGGTGGGTCACACCTGTAATCTCGGCACTTTGGGAAGCCGAGGTGGGCAGATCACGTGTTCAGGAGTTCGAGACCAGCCTGGCCAACATAGTGAAACCCCATCTCTACTAAAAATACCAAAAATTAACCTGGTGTGGTGGTGGGTGCCTATAATCCCAGCTAATTGGGAGGCTGAGGCAGGAGAATGGCTTGAACCCAGGAGGCGGAAGTGGCAGTGAGCCGAGATTGAGCCATTGCACTCCAGCCTGGGCGACAGAGCGAGACTCCATCTCAAATAAATAAATAAATAAATAAATAAATAAATAAATCTGTTGCTTACTGTAGCTACTTTCATGAATGATGTTAGCTACATCTTCTAGGTAACTGCAGCTTCTATGTCAGCACTTGCTGCTTTCCCTTGCACTTTTATGTTATGGACATGACTTCTTTCCTTAAATCTTGTGAACCAATCTCTGCTACCTTCCAACTTTTCTTCTCCAGCTTCCTCATCTCTCTCAGCCTTCATAGAACTGAAGAGAGTTAGGGTTGATCTGAATTAGGCTTTGGCTTATGGAACGTTGTGGCTTGTTTGATCATCTATCCAGACCACTTCATATCAGCAATAAGGCTGTTTTATTATCATTTGTGTATTTACTGGAGTAGCACTTTTAATTTCCCTCAAGAACTTTTCCTTTGCATTCACAAGTTGGCTAACCGGCTCAAGAGACCTAGCTTTTGGCCTCTCTTGGCTTTCAACATAACTTCCACACTAAGCATGACCATTTCTAGCTCTTGATTTAAAGTGAGAAACAGGTGACTGTTCCTTTCACTTGAACACTTAGGGGCCATTGTAGTCTATTAATTGACCTAGTTTCATGTTGATCATATTCTTTATGTTGTCATGGTTCTTTCATAATTCTTTTAGTTCTATGTTTTAATAGTTTCGGTGCTCATTACCAGTACTGTTGCTTCTCCGTATCTGAGTTAGTCCATCTCCTGATTGAATTTCATTGTCAGGCAATCTTTTCAAGTTATAGGTACAGCATTCTTTGGGTTCTTACACACTTCATTGATTGAAAATATTTGTCTTTTGTTTTTATATTACTTGAAGGATTACTTGGCTAGGTATAAAATTTATCAGTCACACTTTTTTCCCCCTCAACTTTGTAAATGTTGTTCCATAATCTCCTAGTGTTTGATTAGCTGGATTTCTTTGTCCAATGTTTTCTCCTTTTATTAGGAAGAATTTGTGAGTCTCTGAGTTTCAATGCTTGCGGTTTTCTTTAATGCTTAAGAATGCCTGCCTATTGCTTTCATTCCTGAAAAATAACTTGGCAGAAGGTAATTTTGTTTGGAAACACTTTCATTAGAACTTTCTGGTCACTGTTTTATTATTTTGGGACATCTAGTGTTACTGTAGAAAAGTCTGATTTTTCCCCCTCCCTCCTTGAAGGCGCTTGTTTTTTTGTTGTTGTGGTTGTTGTTTTTAAACCTAAAATGCCTGAGTTTTTCCTTTATTTTTGGAATTCAGTAATATAAACAAGATATATCTAAGTGTCACTTATAATCATTTTTTCCTATTGCCCTTAGTTCTTCTAAGAACATTTTCCTTGTTTATTACCATGAATACTTTTTTTAGTCAAATTATTGGATCCTCTACTTCATGACACCAGTTTTTTAATACTGAAATTTCTTTTGTTCTCCATATGTATTCCAATTGCTTTGATTTGTCTTTTACCTTTGCATTTACTGTGATCATCTGAAGTCTCTCTTTTTGTCAATAATTCTGTTTTCTCCAGTGTTTGTTCTGTTTTTGATATTTTAAATGAATTAATTGGTTAAGTCATTGTGTTATATAGGCTCTAAGTTTCTTTAGCACTACAAATGCGTTTTCATCTTATTCTGCTTCTTCTTACTTTTGAGCTTGTTTTTATAGGGTTGTATTGTTTTTAAGTTCTTTATTATGATGAAGTTGCTGAGAATTTTCTTTAGTTTTTTTGGGGTTATATATCCTTCCAGAGTGGGTTCTTTGCCCCTTGTGTGCCCTATTCATTTTTTCATTTTTTGTTCTTTCTTGCCTTTTATTCCCTGTATGTGTGTGTTTCTTTTTGTCAGACTGTAATACATACGCATACATGTTTCTTCTTGTTGTGGGAGAACTTATATGTGGTACTGATGGGAAATATTTGTAATACTCCACTCTCCTTACCCAAGTTTGTTTTTCTCCTGAACCCTAGTTTGAAAGCTATATATTGTTGGAGTGGAGGGAAAGAGAAAGGAAAAGTGGTGATTGAGAGAGCCAGATGGGGCAATGTGGCTTTTAGGCTCTGCTCTCTTGGAGTACCAAGTATTTCCCTCTTGGGTCTACCCAACTGCTTATGAATAAAATTCCTATGCCTTGTATGGGGACATCATTCGGCCTCAGACCTCTCATTTCTCTTTGCTCTGAGCCCTAGAATGTGACCTGACCTTCTCCTTCCCAAAACATGGAGATGGTTAAAACTTACTCTGGACTTTTTTTTGTTGACTTTTCCCTGTATTGCTTATTCATTCCTCGGCTCTACTTTTGCCATTTTGGAATGTATTTCTGGTAAGTGTTTAGGATTTTGTAAACTATTTCCCTACAACCTCTTATTGGAGGTCGGGGTAGAGTTGGGAATGACCATCAATCACACATAACTTTGTTTCTTATTTTGACTATCAGGCTTCAAAATCTTTGACAGGCCCTTTTATATTTGGTTGCTGCTAATAAAATGTTGGCCTTTTTGTTTTATTTTTTATTTTTATTTTTTGTTTTATTAGATTTTGAAGAAGGGAGATTCTAAAATCTACTTCAGGTTTTCTCAACATCTGCACAAATAACTTTGGGTTGGATAATTATTTGTTGTGAGGAGGTTGCCCTGTGCAGAGTAGGATATTTAACAACATCCCTGGCTTCTGCCCACTAGATGCCAGTAGTATTCCCCTAGTTAAGACAACCAAAAACATCTTCAGACATTGGGAAATATTCCCTGGGGAGAAAAGCACCCTGGTTTGAGAGCCATTGATCAATTTCGTTCATTCATCTTTACTCCTCCTCCTAAATACCTACATCCAAATTTTAAATAGATCTTTCTTATATAGTCTGGCAAGTATTATATCAAAGATAAATACCGGTTTTACAATAAAGCATTAATACACTCTTACATTTCAACTTAAGAGGCAAATATTAACAGTAGGATTTATGAACTATTTATTAGAATAAAAATCAATGAATTTTTTAGAATTACAAAATGATTTATGTGTGTTAGATATTTTACTGAGTGAAAAAAATAATGCTTTTTTAAATGACTTATTGTTTGGAGTAGTGATATAGTAGATTTAATTCTTCCCCCTCATTAATTAAAATCATGTTTTAGTCAAGATAGTGAACAAAATTCTTATTGGCAATTCAGTTGTTTCCCGTTTCGGAGAGTGACACTCTCCAGTTCTCAGTTAAATAATTGTCATGGTAAAGTAATTTCCTTGAAAAGAACGGACATTGATTCAGCCCCTGTTACTCACAAATCCTATTTGAGTCAAATTGGAAAACTATTAAGTTTTTGGGAAAAAAATCAATAGGTATCAGGAAACCATTAGATCTTGTGGCCCTTGCTATATCTTGCATGAGTAATCACTGTAAACAGCTGACAGGTATTTCATTGTTGACACAGAGTGATGCTTGAGGGACCACATCTTGTCAGAGTAGGTGGACAGCTTTAGACATTGGAATGAGTTTGGTTATCCTTGTTTTTCTCCTACACTCATTCTTTTAGACAGCCCTGTCACTAACTGGGCCTATGATGCTTTGAAAAATCAAATACTTTCCTTGCTGTCAGTTTTCTTTTTCTTGTGTTATGGCATACTAATCAGGGTATGTGGTTTGGTACTGAACCAGTTTCTGTCAAAAACAAGTTTTAATTTATTATTTAGGAATAGTTTTTCCTCAGACCCAGGATTTTATACAGTACTAAATAAATAGTGTAAGAAATAATTAGTAATGCCATAGAGTATATAATTTTACTTCTAGTTCTACACAGATTACAAGTAAATTTTTTTTGGACAAGTGATTTTGGAATTATCTATATTTTGTTTTCCTTTTCCTTTAGAGTGATAATTCACTGTTTATGATCTGAATGATTATCATATTAAAGAGATGAGAAAATAAAAATAAGTCTGATGTGCACAAAGCCATACTGCTCAAATTGTTTGATAATATCTGTTATTATTATGGCATTGGTAGAAGAATGATGTTTTGTTTATATGTGGTAAAAGTTAGTCTTTTTTAAAGGAAATAACAAGAGGGATAGAAATGGAATGGGTATAAATAGTAAAGGGTTCTATCGCTATAATTCCCTTTTGCTAGAAATAGCTAAAGTTTCTATCACTATAATTTCCATAAGAAGATATATGTGTTTACCTGTTAATTTCATCAGGGCAAATTAAAACATGGATAGAATCATGTTTCTCAGTGTTAAGAAATATTTTTATTTGATGAATATTATATATTTTCAGGTGCAGTGGCTTCTATGTTTTGGGTTGATGCTGAATTAGGGAGTGATATTTATCTTGATGGTAAGTTAAAAAACAATTTTCTTTTTTCTTGTTTTTTTTTGAGACAGAGTCTTGCTTTGTTTCCCAGACTGGAGTGCAGTGGCATGATCTCAGCTCGCTGCAACCTCTGCCTCCCGGATTCAAGCAATTCTCCTGCCTCAGCCTCCCGAGTAGCTGGTACGCCATTGTGCCTGGCTAATTTTTGGATTTTTAGTAGAGACAGGGTTTCACCATGTTCGCCTGACTGGTCTTGAACTCCTGACCTCAGGTGATCCGCCAGGCTCGGCCTCCCAAAGTGCTGGGATTACAGGCGTGAGCCAACACACCGTGCCTCTTTGTTTTTAAGAAAAATCTTTATGGTTAAGCTTATTGTTGTTCATTCATATTATAACTTTAATTCCTTGCATTGTTGTTCTTTTCACACTGTAGTTTAATGATGAAGTCTTTGTTCATATAGATTAAAAAATCCCAGACAGTGGTGGAACTGGATGTCACTCAACTCCCAATTTAGTGCTTCTGCTAAGGTTTTCTTTAAAAAACAAACAAAAAAGGATTTTCTGTATCCTCTGTTGTTTGATTTCTGTACTTACTATAATGTTAGAGTCTTTTATTTTAATCTGCCAGGCAATATGAAGATCATATTTTTGCTCTTATTTTCTCTTGAAGATAAGAATTAAATACTCCTACCTTACTTTATTTACCTTAACACTTTTGGGCAGTCTACTTTATAAACTTATAAATGATATGCCTTCATTTAAAATAGAAGCTTTCTTAGTTAAGCAACTATGTTTTCTCCCTTTCTCTTTCCCTTTTTCACGTTTTTAAAAACCAGTCTTTTTCTTACTTTTTCAAAACTAAGAACCATTAAGAAATTTAAGAATTATTAAATGGGCCCCATCATTGAGCTCTTATATATATGGCGTGTAACTGGTTGAATTCCTTAGGCATAATTAAACTCATTCTGTTGTTATCAGCATGTATTCAGAGATTGCTAAATGAATCGGTAGTCTGGAAACTTAGGCATATGTTATGTAAAACATTTTTATGAGTTGGATTTGGATTTGGTGAGAGATGTTAGGAATGATATCCTAAGATGTCTCATTATTTAGGCAATAATTTAAATGTTAAGAAAATCTTGATTTTGATTATGTAAAAATAAACTAGAAATAACCTTTCTTAAGTACTTATCACATTTGACCATGTTATGAAATTTGACTTATATTTTGGATTGTAAGCTTTCTCAGTGCCAAGGAAATCTTATTTTCATATTTATTTAATTTAAAATTTTTATGTGTTTGATATCTTCTCTAGTGACTTAAAATAATTCTAGCCACTCAGTACATATTTGAAATGCATTGACTTATTACTGGAAATTAATTAAATGGCAGCACTGGCAAGAGAAAAACAGTACATTGTTTTATTGAGTAGCATTTGTGAACTGAAATAGGTTAGTTTTAATTTTCATTCTCAAGTGTGGTTGCACAAATATTAATAAACACTTTTTTTTAAAAAAAAGGTGATTAAAATGTTTTTTCCTTTGTAGGTATCATAACTATTGTGGATTCAAAATATGGGTTAAAAGTAAGTTGAAAGATTGCTATGAGTGGCTCATTGTTGAGAGCTAGGAATATGGGGGTTGATTGTTTAATTTTCTTTATGTTTGTATCTGAAATTTTCTTTAACAAAAACCTTCTTCAAAAATATACCCTGAACAATAGGTGAAATTTGTGTTTTAATTACTAGTTCGTGTTAAATATTTCTTGTCTGTTACTCTGAGTTTGATTTGGTGATAAAATTTGGAATTATAATTTGTAATAAGCATATGGGGTTAGGATAGAGTTTAGTATGTATAACTCTTCACAAGGATTCAACCCCAATATTGATAAGTTTTTCTGTTCCATAGAAGAAACTGAGATTGATAAAGCATCTGAGATCTCATTTTTCTTGTTAAATTGCTATTAAACACACACAGGAAATGAGTTTTTTAAAAATATTGAACACCTAGGTGATGGGTTAATAGGTGCAGCAAACCACCATGGCACACGTTTACGTATGTAACAAGCCTGCATATCCTGAACATGGACCCTGGAACTTAAAATTTAAAAACTTCATATTGAAGAAAATTAGGATATATACGTAGAATTAGTAAGAAGACTCTGTCCATTAAAAGGCATCTTGCATCGCGTCTTGGTCTTTTGGCTAAGATCAAGTGTAAAAGACATCCTGCTATGAATGTTTTTGTTAACTTCTAAGGTCCTTAAATGCATTTAAATGAAGTTTAATTTATAAAATGCATTTAGTAAGATCTTTAAAAGTATGTTGTTACATACAGTAAAATGATATTTCTCAATTCCCCGAGTGAAATACCACTTAAGGCAGAAGAGAATGAAATTATCCCACCCACTGACTTGGTCCCAATCTGAGCATATGGATAGGGCCCAAAGCAGTAATTTCTTAGAAGTTTAAATTCAGTGTTTAAAAATTTGTGTCTGTTTTGTATCCGACCTCATAATGTATCTGAACGTGTTAATTTTTTTTTTTTTTTTTTTTTTTTTGATACAGAGTCTCACTCTGTTGCCCAGGCTGGAGTGCAGTGGCACAATCTTGGCTCACTGCAACCTCCACCTGCCAGGTTCAAGCGATTCCCTTGTTTCAGCCTCCTGAGTAACTGGGTTTACAGGTGCATGCCATCACATCCAGCTAATTTTGTATTTTTAGTACAGACGAGATTTTACCACGTTGACCAGCCTGGTCATGAACTCCTGACCTCAAGTGATCCACCCGCCTCAGCCTCCCAAAGTGCTGGGATTACAGGGGTGAGCCACTGCGCCTGGCCTGAACTTGTTAATGTTTAAGTTCGCTTTCTTTCCCCAAATCTTTGCTGAAATTATGCTCTCAGGGGATATGTCAGGTTTTCAAATAATTACCAATACCTCTTCACTGGGCCTTCTCTCCCTCGTTGATAGAGTGCCCTAATTTGAAAAGCTTGGAAGACAACTTTTTTAGAGTTTAAAATCTCAATTTATGAATTTATGAATATAATGTAAGAATCAAAGAATGATCCCAAATACAGTATTACAGTTTCACTCAGAAAAATTCCAATGACTGTTGGAAATCATATTTCTTGCAAAATGCTTATGAGGTAGCGAAAACCCCCAAATTATTCATTTTGAGTGTTTATTATAGACATGTTTGAATCTGTCTCTTCCATAAATTTATTACAAAATATGATATACCTATGTGACAGATAACTGCTAAGACATTTTTTTATAGACTTAGAATGCCATGCTGAAAGTCAAACTGTTTATGTATTTTATGATTATAGGAATAATTTTGTATGTATAGTTGAGTATGGAAAAGAGTTAAATAGAATCTATTATCAGCATGATAGAGGCCAAAAAGACAAAGCAACATTCTGAATAATGCAAACACAGTAAACGTTTAACCTCCTGCCACCTTGATAAAACCTCTTAAATTATTAAATCAATATACCTACACAAAACTGACACACTGTCAGGATAATGGAAACTTTAGATTTTCTAAGTCGGATGCCAGATAAATAACTTTGCCTTGATGTAAAGAATTTTCCAACTTGTCCAATTCCTCTGGTTGCAAAGCTTGACCTCAGTAGCTGCTTGTGATTCAGAGAATTCTGAGGCAGTACAAGTAATGACACTTGGATAATGGGCAGCAATTTAAGAATGTCATGCTTCACAGAGCCAGCCCATCACAAGTAAAGCTGAGAAATGGTACCCTGTGGCCGGCCAGCCAAATTGAAACTGAAGTGGTAATTGATATCATGGGGTATCACTCTAATGGGATTGTCACCCATTGATCTGAAATATTCATTTTTTAATCATAGGCAAAGAATTGGACAACTTAAAATGACAGCCCTCTATTCTCAGGACTTGACACCCAGGCTACTGACATTGTTCTTTTCAGTTCTACAAATGTGACAGCATTTAATGCAATAGAAGCAATGAATGAAGTTACCGAGAAAAGGTCAAGTGAGAGGTTTCTTCTTGGTTCCTCTGTTATATTGCACAATCTGTTGAAACAATTCAGTCAGAAAACAGTTGGCTTGGAAAAGGCCAGAACAATAAATAGACTGACATTATGCAATAATTTTTTAAAAACTAAAATAGTGTTAGGTCTGTAACCAATCCATTTGAAAGAAATAGTTCCTTCTGGCTGCTGCATTTTAAAAATGACACCAGACATCTTTGACACTAGATTTATTTCCACTCTGGTCAACAGTAGTGTTCTTTCATAGCCAGTGAATTTTAAGATAAGTTTTTCTTTTCTTTCTCTTTTTTCGGTCCAGCTTCTTTCTTTATTTCTTCAGAAAAGGACACTCTGTAGCCCTTCATGAAGTTATGTCTACAGTGGTGTTATTTCAGAGAGTTCCTTTGTTTCTCTCCCTAACGCCCCCTCCCCAGCTTTATTGAGGTATAATTGACAAGTAAAAATTATATATATTTAAGGTATACAATGTGTGAATTACATTATAAAACAATCAAACTAGTTAACATATCCATCACTTCACATTGTTTTTTTGGGGGGAGGGAGTGGTAAGAACAATTAAGATCTATCTCTTAGCAGATTTCAAGTATACAATAGAATTAACTACTGTCATCATGTTGTTATTAGCTCTCCATGACTTATGCATCCTGCATAACAAACTTAGTACTCTTTGACCAACATGTCACACCACTCCCCTTTAATTTCCTGTGTTCTTGTGGTAAGTTAAATTGGGGTTTTGAACCTTAGCCTTTTGAATATGTTGGATTAATTAGTACCAAAATTATTTTTGTCTTTTTTGATATATAAGCAAAAGCTATAGTTCTTAAGCAGAGATAAGGAATAATTTGGACATCTATGTAATATAAAATATTTTTAAAAGATTTTGCAAAATTTTTTTCTGCTTTTACTTATACAAGTAGAACAGAATGCCAAAATTTCCATTTTGCTTTATTTTATAAATGAAAGTCGTCTGACTTAATGACCAAATGGTATATAATGTATTATTGGAGAATGTTCTTTTGAATAGAAGACATTCGTTTTATACTTTTTTGCAGAGTTTGACTTGGGAAGGTAGGAAGTCACATGAGGGAAATGCAGGGCTGATGTCTAAAGAAAATAAATGTTAGTATGCACTTATTTTTTTAAATGTTTGTATAGTTTTCCTGTGTGCGTAGAAGAGAACATTTATCCCTTCTGCTATAGTTGTATATGATTACATAGAATTTTAATAGAGTTGTAAATATTGGCAGGCTTTCATTTGGGGTGATTTTCGTTTATTTTTGTGTTTGATACTTTCTGACTGCCTGGAGGCAGTAAAATGTTAGTCTACCACTGTTAGCTTTGAGTGAAGAATTCTAATATTTTGGAGAGGTAAATGCACTTAAAACATTGTACATTACCATGTGAACTACCATTTTATTAGTTACATTTAGGCATGGAAATGCAAAAACAAATCTGTAATTCTTCTGTCATATCATTTTTATGCCTCACAAATTCATAGCCAAATAGCCCCAATTTCATATGTTAAAAAAACTTCCATGAGGTCAATAATATAATATCTTGAAAAATATTTCAGTTTAAAAAGACTTTCAGTACTATAGGATCATTCAGAGACTGATGCCTTGCCAAAAATATATCTGTTAAGTAGATTTACTGTTAAATGGTTAGAGATTTGTTGCTGCATGTTAGATGGCATTTTTCATGTAACATCTTTTGTGTATCCCCACAACAGGAGGTGTTAACTGTAATTCATTCAACAAATATTTGTTGAGTCTGTGTGCCAGGTACCATTCCAAGGTCTGTTAACAGCCTTACTATCTAGAGGCAGAGTATATAACAATAGGACTTGTTGTAGCCTCAGGCCAAGATGAATTATGAAAAAGATATTAAACTTGGTCTTTTGGCATGGAATGATTTTTGATACAATACTTGCCAAGTTCTGTGACTTCCGTAATTGCAGAGTGGGTCTGCAGTTGAACAAGATTTTGCCTGAAGTATCATTGCCATGATTTTATTTCAGTTTTGTTTTCCTCAAAATAGAATTTGCTAAACTTTTAGAAGGAAAAGATGTTTCTTCTATAGACCTAATCAAGCTTGTTAAATAAAATTATTACCTGCTTGCTCTTAGGTTCCAAACTATTCAGATACTCCCAATGATCATCTCCCCATGAGTTATGAAACGGGCTTGGCTCTGATATGTGATTATTAACTTTTGTGTAGCATTGTACACAGACTGATTTTATGTGACATGTACAAAGACTTTAAAATTATGTTCATTTTACTTGATGGGTGTGTGTTCAATTAAAAAAAAATAGTCCATGTGATTGTATATAAAATATAGTATCCTGTGATGATGAGGGTGTTAGATTTAGTTTCTTCCTTTATAAATGAAAATATCCTTCTCTCATAATTGTTATGAAAGCTAAATGAGAAATATATATAATTTATAAAGTTAAATTCAAGGATTTAATTAATTTGTAAAGTTGGCTTCAAATATAGAGTATTACTATAATCTAGTTGCCTCTAAACTTCAGTAGCCAGCTTTTTATTGTGACAGGGAACCTCTATTGAGGTTTGAGGTAATGAGGGTAAAAATGTAATTTCCCAGAGAAGAAGCTTGTGACGTTGATGACTTTAGGGATGTAAACAGGATTATGAGGGGGAAAAAAAAAGAAACACAAAAAACCTTGCCTCCAGAGAGATGAAAACTACCACATGGGCTCTAAGTCCGTGTCAAAATATTTTTTGGAGTTAGCCTGACTCTGGAGAGGTCAGTAAAATAACTAGTTGCACTGAGAGGCCAGATTAGCAAGTATGGGTTTCTAAATGATAAACTGCTTTTAGGCTAGAATCAGAGCTGAATCAGCCCTCCCACCACTTATTTGTTTCTAGGGTGTTTGAAAGGCCTAGTACTGAGTTCACTTGATACATGATTGTGGGCTGGGGAGAAAGGAAGTATATTAGATTCTAAGAAACTGTATTTCAGTGGTTATCCTTTTTTTTTTTTAAATAAGTAATAATGAATATTTAGAACAAGAACAGTTTTATAAGAAGGAAAACACCTAAAATCTGAACTGTAATCTTCTGTGTTTTTATGACATTATGTGAATCAAAGGGGTTTTCCTTTTAAGTAAAAGGAAAAGTCAGGAGTATGAAATCCTAAACCCTCTTCTTCCGCCTATAAAACCCTACAGGTTCACTTGTAGAAAAAAAATTGCAAATGGGGAAGAAAAATGCTTTCAGCTAGAAAAGTTAGTTTTGAATTTGTGTACCCAGTAACAGAACATGTTGAATTTTTATTAGATGCAAGAAGATGTCTATAAAGTAAAATCCTTTGTGTTGACATTAGATTTTTTATTGTATTATAGTAACTTTATTCAAACTTTTTTTTGTTTAGCATTTAACAGAAGAGAAACCCGATGGCCTTATCAATGAAGCCACTAGGTATTCATATTTAAAGTATATATTGATCACTGGCTAATTGTAAAGAGAAAAATCACTAAGATGAAAACCAAAAACAAACTAAGAAATTTTAAAACATAGTCAAGGAAAATTTATTTTCTTTTCTCCCATAGTTGAATTATTGCTATCTATTTATAATGATCTGATAACTAAACTTTTACTTAAAATCATTTTTGTCGTAGCATAAAGTGAATGCTGAACACAGGAGTTCTGTAATTTTGAGGAACTCAGGAAATATTAACTTTAAAAATATATTTTTGTTATACAATTTCTTTGGGATTGAAGATTTATATATATATATATGTATATATATATAATTATTATTATTATTTTTGAGACAGAATCTCACTCTGTCACCCAGGCTGAAGTACAGCAGATCTTGGCTCACTGCAACCTCTGCCTCCCAGGTTCAAGCGATTCTCTTGCCTCAGCCTCCCAAGTAGCTGGGATTACAGGCACCCGCCGCCATGCCTAGCTAATTTTTGTATTTTTGTATTTTTTTTTTTTTTTTTTGGTAGAGATGAGGTTTCACCATGTTGGCCAGGCTGGTCTTGAACTCCTGACCTCAGGTGATCCACCCACCTCCACCTCCCAAAGTGCTGGGATTACAGGCATGAATCCCCTGCACCCGGCCTAACTTAAGTATTTTTGTAACTTTTTTCCTTATGAAAATATGGTTATTATAGAAAATATAAATAAGCCAAATAGAAAATAGCAAAATTAGATTTGTGATGTACACACTATTGAAACCTGCTTTTTCAGTGAACTAAAGTTAATTTAGTTTTGAGAATTTAGTTGTATTCTTTGAGATAAAGCATAAGACCCTGAAAAATTAAGGAAAATTGAAAGAATTTGCGGTTTTACTATCCTGTTAAGAGAAAATAGAGCTTCTGATTATTGTCATCTACTTTGTTATCTAGCATTCAGTCGACTGGATTCTTTACAGAGATAATATACAGTATATTTATAGTGATAAAGAAGAAATTTTTGCAATATCCTGATATATCTTCTGAAGTATAGCTTATTTTTTTTAAAGAAATGGAGTCTTGCTATGTTGCCCAGGTTGGACTTGAACTCCTGGGCTTAAGGGATCCTCCTTCCTCAGCCTCCTAAGTAGCCGGGACTATAAGTATGGTCTGCCGTGCCCAGCTCTGAAGTATAGTTTTCAAAAAACCTGTTTAATACAGTTTTTAGTATTAAGTGAACTTATCTATGTCTTTGAAAATTTTGGTAAATATTACAGTATTTTAGTATGTAAACTCTTCTTATTTTCACCATATTGGATATCTGAATTTTATGCTTTTCTTCACAAAGAAAATTATGAGTTTAAAATCATCCTTTTGATTGTAAACTTTTTGAGACTTATCTTTGTAGCACAAGAGTAGCAAGTAAGAGAACTTAGTAAATACTTTGCGAATGGGTAATGTGAAATCTGAACTTGTATAGTAATGAATGCAATTCATTCCCACTGAAAAATCAGCGGATTAGGAGTAAACTGAATCACTCCTATAGAGCACTATATAATTCTTAACTGATATATTGATCTACATGAGGTGTTCTTATTTATTTTTAATTTGTTAACATTTCTCTTTTGATGTATTAATCTGCATGTGTGTATATTATTTTAAATTTCTTAATATTTCTTTTTGTTTGCTATTTTAGGCAAGTTGCTTTGGCAGATATCATTCTCATCAATAAAACAGACTTGGTTCCAGAAGAAGATGTAAAGAAATTAAGAATGACAATTAGGTACAAAATGATAAGTGTGTTAAGTACCTACAGATCCATATTGTATACACAGAATATTTTTTACTCTGATTATTGCCCTGTAGAAACTTAAGGTTCAAGGTTGACCTGCTTCAAGAACCATTAGGGAATCACATATGTTGTTGATGGCTAATTGTTATATAAATAGTAATGCATAAAATTAGTCCCCAGTGCTTGCAGAATATAGTTTACAGTTAATAGACTGATATTCAGGGTCTTCTCACTCCATCCTTCTCCTGTCTTCTCTTTGACTCTTTCCTAATGTCAGTCTTCCCTAACTTTACCCAGGATAGTTCATTCACTTTCCCATGGATGCACCCTGCCAGTTCCTATCTTTACTCGTAATGTATTCTCACTCTGCCAATCTCTGAATTCTTTCTTTTTTTTTTTTTTTTTAAATTTATTCTATAGAGCCGATTCTGTCTCTCCCCCACGCCTATGTGAAGTCTTCCCTGACTCAAGTGGTCTCACTTTTCCCTAAACTCTCACTGACTTCATCTTCCTTAACTGTCAACCATGCCTTGTCTTCCAGCTTGGTTTTTTTTTTTTTTTTTTTTTTTTTTTTGAGACTGAGTTTCGCTCTGTCGCCCAGGCTGGAGTGCAGTGGCGCCATCTCAGCTCACTGCAAGCTCCGCCTCCCGGGTTTACGCCATTCTCCTGCCTCAGCCTCCGGAGTAGCTGGGACCACAGGCGCCCGCCACTATGCCTGGCTCGTTTTTTTTGTATTTTAGTAGAGACGGGGTTTCACCATGTTAGCCAGGATGGTCTTGATCTCCTGACCTCGTGATCTGCCCGTCTCGCCCTCCCAAAGTGCTGGGATTACAGGCGTGAGCCACCGCGCCCGGCCCCATCTTGCTTTAATATCTTCTTTGTCCATAGCCAAGGCAGATCAGCATAGGACAATCAGGACAATATGAATGATGCTCAAATATGTGCTAACAGTCATTTTGCTGACTGTTCTGGAGACTCCCATTCCTTTTGAAAACAAAGATAGATTTTTCAAATGAGGTTATAGTTCAGGCACTTTGTTTTGAATTATTTTGTAAGACCTGAACTAACAAAAGCCCTATACAGAGAGACATTTGGTAGCTATTATTATTGGTTATCTTTAATGTGTACAATGCTTTGAGCGTGATGGCTCAAAATTACTATTCTTAGTGTTTGTTCAGTTCTACTGACATCAGATTTTGAATCTGTCATCTCAGTTCATATAGTACATATTATAAATTGAATCAATAAAGTTAAGGCTCATTAGATTATTTGCAATGATTAATGATTGTAGAAGAAAGAAATTCATATTTTTTCCACATATTTCATCTTATTTTAATAGTAAAGTCCTTAAACTTTACTATAAACAAAATATAATGTCTCCATGTGAAGGGTAGGTATTGTTGCATCGTGTTGAAGATCACACGGACCTTGGAATCTGCTTGAGTTCTAATCCTTGGTCTGTTTCTCATTGTCTTAGGGAGCTTATTTACCCTTTGAAAGCCTCCTCTGTAAAAGGCATAATGCCTATCATAAGTTTGTTTTGAGTATTACATGAGACAATGTTGGTAAACTTTGCACAGTGCTGACACATAGTAAGTGCTCTGTTAGCTATTATTATGTAATTTTTTTCTTAGCTTACATAGTAAGTTCAAGGTATAGTAAAAAAGGGAAAAAAGAAAAAGATGGCTGATTTTGAAAAGGTGAAAGTGATGAATGAAGATTGCTTTTACATTTTTTGACACTGGTCTTCTAATCTTGTTTCTCTTCAAAAATCTTGTGCACCATTGTGATTGCTAAGAAGAACACAATCTATTTAGCAAACGTTTTTGGCATAAAAGGAATGATAATTGTTATGTGCCTTTTATATCCTTATAGAGACCTAGGCTAAATCTCTGACACTGACAATATTGACTATTACCCAGCTTGTTAACAGTACTAGAAATGAATTTGGAAGAAGCAATTTGATAAATTACACACCCTTTTGGCTTTTACCCTCCCTTTATATCAGACTTGTGACTGACTCAGAATCATATTTGGGGAGTTGAACAAAGGTAAATGTGTTTGAGAGGGAATAGCCATCAGACTATAGAGTATATTCAAAAAAGAAGATTAAGAATTTTGTAAAGTAGTGGAGAGACTTGCCTCAGAATCATTATATGTGGGAAGCCTTACTCGTGAGAACAAACTTGAACAAGTAGCAAGAATCTTGGGTAAGTAACCCTAAAGACAATTGAATTCATGATAGAGAATTGATGATTGATGATAGACAATGGAAAAGATAAATAGATGAGATATACAGTGTGTTGAAAAGATTTTAACAGGTACTTTTTGGTGCCATACAAAGCCATATTCTATAGTATCAAAAGAGGGAGAACAGGCGTAACAGGTAGAGAACCTAGTTAGGGAACTGAAGAGGTTATTCTATAAAGGAACCTGGGATGTGTGACTTAGAATTACTGTGAATACTAAGGACAGGCTGGGGGCAAAGCCATTTACAACCAGGTTTTTATTTTTAGTGTGTATATAGCCGTTTCTACTATGTATGCCTGAGGAAAAAAGTGACCACCGTAAAAATTTTGAGTATCTACTCATTTTTAAGAACATTAGGATAACTGACTACTTATGAATGACTTTTTCTAAAGTGAAGCATCTTTTTATTAATCACAAAGTAGCCCTTAATCTGACAGTTGTGCAAAGTTTTGTATATATGTTTTATTGATATGTGAGTGGAATATATGTGATTTATGGTTTGAAGGAAAATCATAATTATATTTTAAAGCAAGTTTTGTTTTTCTGTTTTTAATTTTTTTTTGGTTCCAGATGTATTTGTGTATGCTTATTTCCTGTTTTAGAAATAATGTACTTTGTATACTTTTTTAAAAAGTTAATTTTTACTTTTAAACTTTGTCTTCCTCATCTGTTATTTATTTCAGATCCATAAATGGACTAGGACAAATCTTAGAAACACAAAGATCAAGGTACTTTTAAAAAGCTATTCCTAATATACTAACAACAAATCATTTTAGTTATTAATAATAAACATTAAGTAATTGACAAATACGCTTGATTCTAATATAAGAAAGATGTAAGTGCATTTAAAAAGAATTGGATCCAAAATGTTGTTTGGAATGCTCTTAATAAGTTAGTTTGGCATATTTAGCTAGTACATTTGCCTGTCTTTAAAACTAAGATTACAAAGCCATGATAACACTATGTAAGTGTTTGCTTAAGGAGGAAGAAAAGACTTCTAAACACTCAAGAGGGTAACTCAGTACAGAAATCTGAAGAAGTATATTGAGGAATCTTCTCTTAATTTGAAGTCTTTAAATGGCTTTTTAATATTTTAAAAGCCTTCTTAGTGGTTCATAGTTGCCAAAAAATATATGGAGTCTTTACCGTGAAGTTCCTGACAAATTCTTTTATTAAATTTTGATTTTCATTTTCTCTAGGTTCTGTTCCTAAAACATCTGTGAAGTGTGTTTCTGTAGATTAAACTCTGTTTTCCATTGAATGTTATCTTAATTTCAGAAAATTTCTGTGCAGGGTTTTTTTTTGTTAAACTCATTTTTTTTTTTTTTTTTTTTTGGTGAGAAAGGCTCAGCAGCTGATAGACTCAGCAACAGGCAGCCAGGAGCTCTGAGACTCACAGCTGGCAGTCTAGTTCAACTCAGTCTCTACTTGAGAGATTCTTTCTTTGGAAGTACAGTAGAGGCCTTAGGTGAGTGGCTTATCTGCTATGGCAGAGATTAGAGGTGCTGACAGACTGCCATAAGTGTTAGGCAGCAGCAGCAGCAGCTGCTTATATGCATGTGAACAGCTGGGGAATTTGGTATGCATTCTCAGAAACCACTCATCTGCTGGCAGAGGTAGCAGAAGAATGCCCTTAGTGTAAGTCCTCTACAACCATACACCAAATGTGCTCCCCACATTTCAAATTCCACTGTAGAAAGTCTCTGATAATCTCATTTATACCATGAGCCATTCCTCAATATCTGTCTTCTTCCTGTTAGTGTTCTACAATTCCTTTCTCCTTAATTTTTCTCCTCTTTACAAAATGTCACACAGACAAGTGCATAATACTTAAACAAGCTTTTAAAAATAATGGTCATAAATAGCTTTGGTTCTGTCTTAATATTCGTATTTATAAACATTTTCAGTCAAGTCTCTTCTCTTGTTTTCATTTTGGAAATATCCATGTCCTGAATAAAAGTTTCATCTTGATTAGTTTATTATGTAACATAGTTTGTTTGACATTTCTAACTTTTATTTCTAACATTTGCTTTATTATAGAACAGTAAACATGCAGTGATTGATTTTTGTTACTTCAAGTGGATGAGTGAGCAAGTGACTAAAATCTTCTGTGAATTCTTCTTCAGTGTATGGAGGTTGCCAATGCATCTGAGAATCTAGGGACTTTCTGAAATAGTACTTCCTTGCTATGAGGACTGAAGTTGGATTAGAATCCTTTTCAATGAAGATCAGATGTCCTGAGTAGAAATTTTATTATTTGGTCCTGAATCTTACATTAAATATTCTCTCAAATTCCTTGAGGCATAGCAACTTGAGCTTACCAGTTTAGAAATTGGAGATTTGGGCTGGGTGTGGTGGCTCAGCCTGTAATCCCAGCACTTTGGGAGGCTGAGGTGGGCAGATCATGAGGTCAGAAGATTGAGACCATCCTGGCTAACATGGTGAAACCCCATCTCTACTAAAAATACAAAAAAATTAGCCAGGCGAGGTGGTGGGCGCCTGTAGTCCCAGCTACTCAGGAGGCTGAGGCAGGAGAATGGCATGAACCCGGGAGGCGGAGCTTGCAGTGAGCTGAGATTGCACCACTGCACTCCACCTGGGCGACAGAGCGAGACTCTGTCTCAAACAAACAAACAAACAAAAAAACCTGGAGATTTGGTTAACAAAATAGTCAAAGTCACTCTTATAGAAGTTTTGTTTTATTGTTTTTTTAAAAATTTTACCATTGTGTAGCTGACAAGTACTGACAATAAACTGCTATAAGCATGTGTAGAAAAAGGCTCACCTTGAGTAGTTAAGAGTAAGGAAAAGGAATAGTGCGTAGCATCGTCTTATTGGTAAGACTTAAGTTGATTTACTAGCAAGTGGAAGTACTAGTGAACCACACAGGTTTCAGATGTAGGAGTAAAAGATGAGAAGATGTGTCATTTTAATCTTCTCTAGACTTTTTCCTAATTTTTAGAAATGTAAGTGGACTGAACAGAGGAAAACCAAAACACAGTTGGTCAATAATAAGTTAAATTAATTTGACAAACTGCCTGCTATGCATTTTATAGCATTTTAAGGACTATTTAAGCAACGGATAAGGCAAAAACTGCCTTTAAGGAGATCAGTCATTGAGGGGAAACAGAGAAGCAAACAAACAAAAAGGCAACATGTTAGATATTAATATAAATACAAGAATTTTAAAAGCACAGAGTTCTATAATAACAGGAAAATAGAGGGAATGATTATTAAACTTTTCTTGAAAAAGAGTCAGGAAAATATTGACTGAGAAGGCAGTCATTGACCTAAGTCTTAAATAATGAGTAAGCCTTTTACAGATGGACTAGGGTAGGGACAACTTTCCAGGTATAAGGAAGATTTTGTATTCCAGGGACCTTCGAATATTTTAGAATGGATAGAAAACTTGGTATTGTGTAGCACAGAAAAAGTGGTATGACTGAAGAGATAGAGAACTTACCCCAAAGGGTCTTGAATGCCATGCTACATAGTTTGGATTTTCTTCTGTAGGGAGCAAGGAGTTAGTGAAGGGTTTTAAAAGCAATATGACTCTAGGGAGGCAGATTCAATGTGGGGCTAATCTCTGGGGTATAGGAAATACAGGAAAGAGAAGCAATAGGTCGGGTAGTGGTGGAAGTAGATTTGGAAAATGTGATTAGTTTTGTAAACATTTTTGAGTTCGAAGTGCCACTGGGGAAAGCATTTGGAAATTTATTTCTAGAGTTCAAGACTGAGCTGTCATTGCAGTTTGCTCAGCTATTTACTGAGCTATCTACTGTCAATTTGGATAGTATCTACAATTTGCATTGTAGATACTGGATACTTGGATTGGCTGGTGCACCCTGTTTGTGAGACTCAGTGGAGTTTGAAGAGATGATCATTGGAAAATATCCCTAAGTAGTAGCTGCAATTCCAGCCCCACCTTGGAGAGCCAAAATGCTCTTTGTTTTCACTCTCCTGTCCTTGGTCTTAAGCTACTTAAGCAGCTTTTAGACATAGGGAAAATTAACAGCATCTCTTTTAGGAAAATCATTAGGTACTTCTGGAATAGAGAGTTCAAGAAATTAGGGGAAAAATGAACTTTTGAAGCTTTTTCTTTCCCTTTTTTGTTTACTTCATTCTTTTACTCAGTTTTAAAATGCTGGTAATGGTTTTTTGTTTTTTGTTTTTTGTTTTGTGTGTGTGTGTGTGGCTATTTTAGTGCTTTGGAAAAGATCTGATGGTTTTATCTCCAAAGGAGGAAATTAATTTGATGCCATGGAAATTAGTTTTCTAGTCATATGCCTTGAATGAGTGAAGAATTTCTTTTTCATGGTGGTACTAAATTTGGGGAAAGCTATAGAAACTTTCATCTGGAAGCTTACACTTTTCTTCTTTACTGAAAATTTGGTGAGAGACTTGGATATTTTATTATTTTCTGTAAAAGAGTGTAATTTGTTGTACAGATCTAATATTGATCTTTTTTTGGAAGTATGGAAAGAATCTGAGTATAAAGCAGAATTACCTCTGGATGACATGTATTCTCAAGGACACTGTCACAGTGAAACAATTTATTTAGAAGCTTGTGTTTCCAAATTGTTGAATTTGATATTCACAAAATTGGCATGTGTAAACTTTATTAAACTTTAAGCTGTTTCTTAAGATGAAGATGACAAACTTGGAGGGAAACTCCATTCATTTGGTTTATTTTTATTTTTTTTATCTTTTTGAGACAGAATCTCACTCTGGTGTGAGACAGAATCTCACTCTGTCCCCCAAGATGGAGTGTGGTAGTGCGATCTCGGCTCACTGAAACCTCTGCCTCCTGGGTTCAAGCAATTCTCCTGCTTCACCCTCCCTGTAGCTGGGATTACAGGTGTGCGCCACCACACCCAGCTAATTTTTCTGTTTTTAGTAGAGATGGAATTTCGCCACATTGGCCAGGCTGGTGTCAAACTCCTGGCCTCAAAGTGATCTGCCCACCTTGGCCTCCCAAAGTGCTGGGATTACAGGCATGAGCCACTGTGCCCCTCATTTGTGACCTGTCAATATACATATGCTCAGTAGTGGGGGGAGGGGTAGAAGGTGAAAAAGGAAATATGTTTAATATTAAGACTTTGGCCTCTTAGTGTAAACTGATATTCAAAAATTTCTTCATAGAACATTTGCTTCTTTGCTTGATCATTTTTCTAATTCTATACATCTGAAATGCCCAGAATTTGAGTTGTTGTTATAGTCTATTAACATAGAACTTTGGAGTAATAAGATGGGAATTTGTCTACCTTTTGCCAAGACAAGCATTCATAATCTAACACAGTATTGTTGCCACGAGTATGAGTATATGATAGACCTGTTGAGAATAAACAAAGCAGGCACAGTTGGTCAGTCCTAAGATAAAGATGTTTTTTCTTATATGTTTGTGCATTAAAAAAAAAAAAATCTTGAATCTGACCAATGATTTTTTTTTTTCCTTGTAAGAAAATTTAACAAATGTTTGGTAAGCTTCTGGAATCTAAATTTGAAATTATACATTTGTCATTTTCTTTAAACATTTCTTCACCTTAACTTTGATTATGGAGAAATCACTATCCTCTGCTGTATTTTTTTTTTTTTTTCTGTGCCAGGCGGGAGTGCAGTAGTGCAATCTCGGCTCACTGCAACCTCCGCCTCCGGGGTTCAAGTGATTCTCCTGCCTCAGCCTCCCGAGTAGCTGGGACTATAGGCACGTGCCACCACACCCAGCTAATTTTCGTGTTTTTGGTAGAGACACGGTTTCACCACGTTGGCCGTGGCCAGGATCGTCTTGATCTCTTGACCTTGTGATCCGCCTGCCTCAGCCTCCCGCAGTGCTGGGATTACAGGCATGAGCCACCGCGCCTGGCCTGTCCTCTGCTGTTTTCTGAGCTTATGTTAAAATTATAACTCAATCACCAGTCTTTATAAATTTGCTTTTTTATATTTAAACCAAACCTAATGTTAATTGTGATGTTATTCTCACCTGATTTGAATCATTGGATTCAATTAAATGAGTTTAATTATCATTAAATAATTCTAAGAGAAATAATGTCTATTCGGATGTCGGGAATTTTCTTTCTACATGCAGCCCCATTCTGAATGAATGAAATCAAATCATGTGAAGATCAGGGTCCTAGAGTAACTTAATATTTTGTACATTGGTTATTTGACTTCTCGTTTTTATATTACATGTTATATCAGGGTAGGGGGAATAAAAGAAATACAAAAATTGCAGAGATATTTGGAATGTACCTATTTGTTAATTCTATTTGTCATTTCTTTTGTTTCATCTTTTGAGTAATAAACTGCTTGGAAAAGTTTCTGTTCTTTAGCTGATTTTGTTTTAGCTATAAAAATGTATTTGGAAAGCTCATAAATTTCAGGATTGAAAAGATAATTGAAAGTTAAAAAAAAAAAAGCTAATTCATTGAAGTAATAACCAAATAATTTTCAATCTTGATTCAACTGTGATTCAAATCTTATACCATTTGCCCACTTGTATGAATTTTATGTATAAAATTTTTTAAGAGTCAGAGATTTTTTTTCTTGATTAATTGGATGTATTTTCACAGAATTTCCAACTGCTCATGTTAGTTTTCTTCCTTTTAGAGTTGATCTCTCTAATGTATTAGATCTTCATGCCTTTGATAGTCTCTCTGGAATAAGGTATGTTTTGTGTAATTTGCTTACTTTTATTGTTATGTACCTTTTTTTCCCATTGTTAACAGGAATGATTTGCACAATTGCATCCTTGATTTAAGCTTCCTGCCATTCCTTTGGCGTATAAGACCATTCTTAATGAGATGTGTTCTTGGAAGTTTTACTAATTGGTTGTTTGGAAATCATATTGCATTTCCCTGTAGAAATTATAGTGTAAATGATAGTTAACTTTAGAGGCTAATCGTTAACACTTCTACACTAAACACTATGTATAACACTCTTTCTATGAGAAAATGCATGAAATACATAGAAAAGTTTAGCCTAGGGTTCTCACACAAATAACTCTCTTCACTTTAATAATGGATTAGTTTTCTGCCTTCTGTGGGGAATCTTTGGTAAGGGAGGGAAGAAAGATAGTTATTCTTGTGCATCAGTATCTTTTTCTTTTTTTTATTATAGTATGAACATCTAACATGAGATCTACCCTCTTAACAATTTTTTAAATGTACAATACAGTATTGCTAACTGTGGGCATGAGGATGTGCAGCAGATCTCTGGAACGTTTCACTCTTTATAACTGAAGCTGTATACCCCTTGAATAGCAGCTTCCCATTTCCCTATCTTTGTAGCCCCTGGCATCCACAATTCTACACTCTTTCTGTGGGGTTGACTATTTTAATTACCTGACACAAGTGGAATCATGCATTATTTGTCTTTCTGTGACTGGTTTATTTCACGTAGCATAAAGTCATCAAGGTTCATCCATGTTTTTGCATATGGCAAGGTTTCCTTTTTAAGGCTGAATAATATTCCATTTTCTACATATACCACATTTACTTTATCCCTTTTTCTGTTAGTGGACATTTAACTTGTTCTCACAGCTTGGCTATTGCAAATAATGCTGCAATGAATATCTCATAAGTCTCATATATGTCCATATAAGATCATGAACATGGACATCCTCTCTGGGCAGTTTGAATTGGTGGGGCAGGTTTGCTTAAGGGTAGGCATGGTGGGTGGCTCTATACTTGAGATTTCTAATTCTCATTCCTATATGTATTTCTTTTCTTTTTTATTTATTTATTTTTTTGAGATGGGGTTCTCTGTCACCCAGGCTGGAGTGCAGTGGCACAAACATAGCTTACTGCAGCCTCAACCTCCTGGGCTCAAGCAATCCTCCCATCTCAGCCTCCCGAGTAGCTGGGACCACAGGCATGTGTCACCATGCTTGACTGTTTTTCTTTTTCTGTAAGCATGGGATCTTGCTATATTGCCTAGGCTGGTCTCAAACTCCTGGGCTCAAGTGGTCCTCCTGCCTCAGCCTCCCAAAGTGCTGGGATTACATGTGTGGGCCATCATACCCAGCCTTATATATATGTTTCTAATTTTGCCTTAGCCATGCCCTTAAAAGCTAATTCTGTTTTCAACTAGTTTTTTTTTTTTTTTCACCTTCAGTCTGTAGTATTGTTCACATTTTGAAAACAATACCTACAGTAACCTGTGAGGTAGGACATGATAGTGTTTTATTGGACCCCTTTTACTTTATAAATTGGAAAAATTAAATTTGCATGTAGTTTGTAGAAAAAAAAAAGAAAGAAAGAAAAAAGAAATTGATTGAGATTATTTCAGCAACCAGAAGTCTGGGATAGGCAGGGCAGTTATTCCTCCTTCTCAGTTTGGAAACTGAAGCTCAGAGAGTAAACTTGTCAGTGACAGTGTTATTCAAGAAGTTGTCTTCAGTTGAGAGATATGTTTTTCACCTGTAGCTCTGGTATTGGAGCAGTACCTTTTTAGACTAAACAAATTATGGCTAAAATTATAAAGGTATTTTTGGGGTACCTGGAAAAAATCAGCATTTTGCTTTTCTAGTTCCTGTTAGTAGGAAGGCAGAAAAGTTTGGTGTACCTGAATTACATGTGAGTTATTTCTATTTTTCTAAAAATTCTTATAAATTATGTAAGGTAAAAATGACCACTTGTTGTTTTATGGTAAATATAGTTATATCCTTTCAAGCCACTGCTGTACAAAGTTGTGAAATCTCCCTGAGCCTTTTTCCCTCATGTCAACTTCAGGTGTCCAGTATCACTTATGCTTGATAATGATTGTATGAAAATCATTCAGAATTATACTATGTTTTTTCATATGAAACTTTTGTTTTACTAATTTTGAAATGACTGTTCTTCCATTAAACTAATACAGCCCTAAGCATAAATTTGGCTTGTTCATTTAAAAATGGTGCTTTTTTCCCATCTTAGTTCTGGCTTTACTAGGGAGATGGATTGGCTGAGGTTGTCATCTAATTCTGGGAGCTTAAGAGCCTTTGTCTTTTGCTACCCATTTCTGAAATAACCAGAAGTCTAGTCCATCCTAACTTTTCTCTTGATGATCCTTTTCTTCTTTTTACTTCAAGGCTCCAGCCCTTCATTTGGCTCTCAGTGCTGTTTCACTAGTTAGCCATGATCCCTTTCATCCTCCACATCTGGATTAGAACTACTAATTTGATGCTGTGGGCAGTTTTGATAGTTACAGATCCTGTGATACGTTTAAATATGTTTACGAGGGGAAAAAATGAAACAATACTGCATGAAATTTGCCTTTCTTTCTTTTTTTTTTTTTTTCCTTGGAGGCAGAGTCTGGGTCTATTGCCCAGGTTAGAGTGCAGTGGTGCAACGTCGGCACACTGTACCCTCTGCCTCCTGAGCTTAAGCCATCTTCCCACCTCAGACTCCAGAGTAGCTGGGACTATAGGCACGCACTGCCACGCCTGGCTAATTTTTTACTTTGGTAGAGAATGGGGTTTTGCCATGTTGCTGAAGCTGATCTTAAACTCCTGGGCTCAAGTGTTCTGCCCACATCAGCCTCCCAAAGTAATGGGATTATAGGCATGAGCCACCACACTTGGCCTTTTCTTTTTTTTAATATTTATTTAATTATTTTATTTTATTGAGACAGAGTCTCACTCTTGACACCTGGGCTGGAGTGCAGTGGCTGTCATGGCTCTCTGCAGTCCTGAACTCCTGGACTCAAGTGATCCTCCCATCAGCCTCCTGAGTAGCTGGGGCTACAGGCTTGCACCACCATGCCTGGCTACTTTTTTTATTTTTACTTTTTTGTAGAGACAGGCTCTCGCTACGTTGCTCAGGCTCATCTTGAACTCCTGGCCTCAAGTGATCCTCCTACTTGGCCTCTCAAAGTGCTGGGATTATAAGCCTGAGCTACTGAACCCAGCACAATTTGCCTTTCTTAAACTAATTTATCTATGTTCGGTCCAAGAGCTGCAAGTTGGTTGTCATTTAATATGTTAAACCCTGAAATATTTTTTAGTTGAAATTTTATTTTTTCCTTTTATATATTGTATCTTTTAGCGCTTTATTTCACTAATAAGAATTAGAGTATGAAATAATTTCCCACCTTGATATTCAGTATATCAATTTTTGTTTTTCCTTTCTACTTCTGTCTTTTGCTGTAATTTGCTGTAATACAGGTACTTTCATTAAGGCATCCAGTTCTTTATATCATTCCATATTTTTACTTGGGAGAAATAGAAATGTTGCTAATTCCATCTTACTGACAATACCTAAATTATTGTTTCTTATAGAACATAATGGATTAAATATACAAAACACTAAACTGTTTGAGATTTTTTACATTTTATGTGTACAGAATTTACATTTTATGTGTGCAGAGACGCAAATTGTTATAAGATTACAAGTTAATGTGTAAGATGATTTCAGATTCGTGAATTTCAGGTTGTGGTAGCTTATGCTTATCCACTAGATTAGTCTTTTAAAAATGTTTATGACAGGGAAAAAATAGAGGGCATGAAATTCTGAGACTTACTGGAACTAAACTTAAGATGCTCGTTGTTAGATTTTTTTGTTTTTTGTTTTTGTTTTTTTTTTGCTGCATATGAAGTTTTAGGCAGTCATTGTCCAACAACATTAAATACTGAACATATGGGAAAAGCATATGATTTTTCAAAATGTTTTTCTAAAGTAATCTCATTCTACACGTAAGAGCAGTTATAATGCTTTAGTGACACTTGAAGTAGCTATTTAATGTGATCTCAGCACTATAGAGGAGGCCGTTGCATGACTTTTTTGTGTGTGCTTAGCTGCTAAACAGGAGAATCTTTTCCTGAGCAACCAGCTGGGAAGGATTTAATTTGGCATTCTCCCTACTAGGACCCCCCAAAGAGACTCATTCCCTCCAATAGTGCCTACAAGTTCTTTCTCTTTCCTAAACTTGCTGTTACTAATTTGCCCCTCACTGTTCTTCAAGGCAAAACATCTGCAAGGTTTTAAGTCCTTTCTCCCTCCTGTCCTGTCCCCATCAGTGTTGAAATGTATGCTACAGTTGTTATGGTTGTAATTTGTTATGCCATATTGATCTTCTTGTGCTTTTCATATCAGAACAATGCATTTTTAACATTCTGACTTTCTTTTTCTCTCAATTGGTAACTGACTATATAGAAAATTTATAGATACTATTTGTTTTTTAAATAAGTTCAGGGGAAAACATTGATAAAGGAAAATTTATCCTTTAACTTTCTTTAGGTGCCAGCATTATTTGCACATTAGGAAGCAGGAGAAAATTAAGGAACTCTGAGCAATACTAGGATGGTTATATATATATATATTTAAGCTTACATTAAACCTGTTGGAATGGTAAAGAAATCTACTGACATATTTAACCACACAAAATAGTGTTGCTAAAAGATTAATTTTTTCTTTATTGTGTGCATATGTATATATATGAATGTGTGTTTTTTTAAAAGAAATTTTTAAAAAACAATCTGCCAGCTTTTCTCTATTGGAATTTGTGAACAACGTGTAAAATTGGAATTACAGAATAGTAAAATAGTCAGTTATGGAAAGTCACTTCGTTATCCTTGTGTCACTAAATAACGTATAAAGTTAAATCAGAAGTGTATTCATCTCTGAATTTCTAATCAGTGGTTTTTAGTTTGCAGAAAAAACTTCAGCATGCGCCAGGAATACAACCTCACCTTGATCAGGTAAAAAAAAAAAAAAAAAAAAAATCTAAATCCAAAAAATTCCTAATGAATGTTTTTAAAGGACCTCTTTAACTAAATTGGCTATGTTTAGGACTATTTTATTGTAAACTTTTTCTAAAATGGTGTTTTTGAACTATGTTGATAATTTTTGGAATCTTAAATACTTTTGACATAGTCTAATTCAATTTCTTAACACATAATAGGAATTCATCAAACCAGATTTGTTTTAGAATCTGAGGAAATCATGCTTTCTAGCCTTTCCATTCTGTAGATTACTTAGCATATTGATTAGTTCTGATAGGGATTACTCCTTAAAAGCAGCCTGGGGGTTCTATAGGCAGTCTGTTTTTAAGTGTGTTGAATTGTTTAAGGAAAGGTCTGATATAAGCATGGCTTATTTAAATAGAAATTGACTTTGAGTTTCACCTTCAGGTGAAACCATCTGGGCACTGTAAATTTGAACTTCTTAAGATGTTTTTAATGCTCTAAAATTCTAATCCCTAAGGTAAATATCTAAGATGCTAGGAACAAATTAAATATAATTTTACCGTACTTGTGTTTCTGTTAAGCAGATCATAGATCGTAGAGCCTTAGGATAACTTCTTTGTTCCACTTCAAACCCTGAGGGGTGGAGTGGGGGATGTGTAAGTGAGCAGTGTGCCTAGTCTTCCTTCCTCTGTCTCCAAGTGATCACTCAGTTTTTGAATTGCTGTTGGTTGTAATAGGGCCAAGATAATAGCTACTTGCATTTGTGTTCATTTTGGTTCATATTTATGAGCAGGTTTACTACTATGTTTGTGACACCTTTCCCTGTGAAACTTTTGTTAATAGGATATTCCTCTTCTCTTCTCTTTATAATGAATAAATGAGAGAAATACAAGTCCTTGGAGATAGAATTTATGGTTAAAAAAAACCCAGTTCTTTATGATAGTCAGTATCTATCATATAGATGAACATGAGCACATTTGAGCTTCTGGGTAAAGAACATGATGCCAAGAATCATAGGGATGAAAAGATGAAGAAAATGCAGTACTCACTTACTATGAACATTTGGAGCGGCCAGTGTCTCCACACGTAGAATCTCGAATGAACCCCTATTGTGGCAGTTATGATGCCTTGTACTTTGGTTGAAATGCTTTTGCCTTGCATTAGTCTATAAATTCCTTAAATGTAAAATCTTTATTGCTTAGGACAGGGCTTGGTGAATACTCAGTGAATATTTGTTAAAAGAATGAAAAGCTGTGTTTCTCAAATGGGGTATAAGTCAGAATCACATGTGGAGCTTTTTAAAAAAAATTCGATAACTCAGTAGTTCTCACCCCTCAATCTCCAGGATTGGGACTTGGGTATGTGTATATTAATGTATATTTTTAACGTTTTATTATGGAAGATTTCAAAGATATAAAAGAGTAAACAGAATAGTAAAGTAAACCCCTTCTGTGCATCACCCAGTTTAAATGGCATCAACATTTAGCTGGTTTTATTTCACCTATCCTCCAAACATTTCTTTTGCCTGGAGTATTTAAAAAAACAAATGTCTTTTTAATAGAAAATTTCAAACGTGCATAAGGGTAGAATAGTATAATGAGCCTGTATGTACCTGTTGCCCTTGCTGGAGTGTATGAAAGCAAATTCCAGACATTATGTCATTTTACTACTAAATAGGGCATGTCTATGTTTTTGAAGCCTCTGTAGGAGATTCTGATGCACTGTCCTGCTTTAGATAATATAAACATAGGGAAAAATAGTATCACAGACAAAGGGCTATGGGATTCAGAGGCATGAACAATTTCATTTGGTTCAGTGGATCTGAGGTGTAAGGGAGAAAATGTATCTTTTCCTCGCCTATCACTAGATTAATGGCTGAGATCTCTCTAACAGAAGACCAACTATCAAGAGAAATTTCAACATACCAATTTAGTAAGTTTTACTTGACACAGGAGCCTTCATAAAACATACCTGTGTATGTTTTAAGCTAGTTACGATATGGAAGAGGATAGTAATGGAGAAGCATAATTAGATAAAACAGTATGATCTAATAATAATAAACTGGGAAGAACTTAGCAAGGCCTATTTGCTCAGATTTTTCTCTGTGACCCTTCACATTCAGACTTAAGGATGTTCTTTTCCTCTGTGTATAGAAAGGGCACCTCTTAAGTGAGGGTCTTATAACCTGCATCAGCGGAAGGTCAGAAAATCTTTCCTAGGTTTTATGACCTGCTTCAGGAGAGAAGGTGAGAGTGACCTTCCTGGTTCTGCCATTTTCTCAAATACTGAGGTGCCATATTTTGGGATAGCATGTCCTGAACCCCATCAAATACTCCATGAAGATAGTTTTTTGTTTGTTTGTTTTGGTTTGGTTTATTTCTTTGCATACAGTAAAGCATGCAAATGTGTAATTTTAGTGTACAATTCAATGTTTGGATTTTTTTTTTTTTTTTTTTTTTTTTGGCTCACTGCAACCTCCTCCTTCTAGGTTCAAGCAATTCTTGTGCCTCAGCCTCCCGAGTAGCTGGGATTACAGGCATGCATCAACCACGCCTGGCTAATTTTTTTTTTTTTTTTTTTTTTTTAGTAGAGATGGGGTTTCACCATGTTGGCCAAGCTGGTCTCAAACTCCTGGCTTCAGGTGATCCACCCACTTCAGCCTCCCAAAGGGCTAGGATTACAGGTGTGAGCCACTGTGCCCGGCCTCAATGTATTTTTAAGTATATTTGTACCTGTATATGTGTCTATATGCACATTTAAACACATATCCTAACTCCCACTCAAATCAAGATATAAAAGATATCCAAAATTATAAAGAGTTCTTTTTTGCACCTTCCTAGTCAAAGAAGGGGGGGTAAATGCTAGTCTGACTTACTTAACAGAAAATAGCCTTGAACTGGTAGGATTTTTTTGACAGGAAGAAGTAAGGAAAAGGGCAATATGGATGTTTAAAAATGTGAAGGTGAGAATCTTATAGATGAGTAGGCCTCTGGTACAGAAGTCTTAGTGGAGAGTTGGTACTGGAATCCCGGTCTAAGGTACTAGGTTTTAATTTGCTAGACAAAGAGAACTCAAGCTGTGCTGTCTAGGAGTGTTATGTAAGCTAGGTTGGACTTTAGAGTCAGGAGACCATGTGGGAAGATACTGTGTGATGAAGGCCTGAAACATGTTGTTTACAGTGAGACTAGAAATGGGATAAATCCAGAGCTGTTTCACTGGTAGACTTGCCTGAATATCCTGTCTGACTGAGGATGGATCAGAAAGAAACGAAGGGGTGATGGGAAACAAGCCTAGATTGACTAGAGAAACCTAGAAATAGAAAAATTGGGAAGGCAAAGTGATTTGAATGATAATGCCATATATTCAGTTGTCCCTGGTGGCCAGATATTATAGTATAGGTATTATACAGGCAAAGAAGAACAGAGGGCTAGAGTGTAAAGGTACAGATTTTGAGTTTAAGCACATTAGGGGGCTTAGTGTTCTGGATGAAGAAAACATATAGAAGTTATTGCATGTTAGGTATTATTGTTTGCAAAAGAGTAGAAAATGGAGAAATAACCCAGTTGACAGTTAATGTTTCATTTGACAACCTTTTGCTGTATATTTTTATGTGGACTTTTAGTTGTTGTAGTGATTTCTTTAATGAAGAAAGAAAATAATTGTCATTTTAAAATGCTTATTATTATTACCTTAAGCTATAAAAATAATTTTAAAATAGAGTATGTTTATTAAGATTTAAAAATAAGTATAGCCATGAACTGCATAACAGCGTTTTAGTCAGACTGCATAAGATTACGATGGAGCTGAAAAATTCCTGTCACACAAATACTTACCATTGTGTTATTATTTCCATACACTTCTCAGTACAGTAAAATGTATGCTGTACAGGTTTGTAGCCTAGGAGCAATAGGCTATATACAGCATAGCTTAGGTGTGCAGTAGGTTATACCATCCAGGTTTGGGTAAGTACACTATCATGTTTGTATAACAACAAAATCGCCCAACAACTCATTTCTCTTTATGTATCCATGACTGTATATTTTTTATTGTGGTAAAAAACACTTAACATGAGACCTACCTTCTTCACAAATTTTTAAAGGTACAATACAGTATCGTTAACTGTATGTACATTGTTATACAACAGATCTCTAGAACTTTTTCATCTTGCATGACTAAAATTATACCCATTGAATGGCACCTCCTCATTTTCGTCTCCCTCTAGCCCCTGGTAACCACCATTTTACTTTCTGATTTGGTGAGTTTTACTGTTTTAGACACCTGATATTAGTGAATTCATGCAATATTTGTCCTTCTGTGACTGGCTTATTTCACTTAGTGTAATGTCCTCAAGATTCATCCATGTTGTAGCATATGACAGAATGTTTTTTAAGGATACATAATATTTGGTTGTATATATATTACCACATTTATTTTATCCATTCAACTGTCCTGAACATTTAGGTGATTGTTAGTGTCTTGACTGTTGTGACAAAATAAGTACTTTTAAAATCTCACATTTGCAAGTTCAATTTGAACCTTTTTTTAGTTTACTTGTACTTCTCATATCAAGCAAGAAAGCACTTTTCTGCTTTTCCTATTACTAGTAACAGTGGAGATTAAATATCTTGTATGTTTTGGGGCGTTCTAGAGCCCCACACATCACCTGTTCCTTTCCATACTGCCACAACTGACACTCTCTGGAAAGTGCCACCTCCCGGCAGCAAGCCAACCGGCACAAAAAATAGCGCATTAAACCAGCAAAGCTAAGAACCCTCATAGAGTCCATTTCACCCTCGTACGACCTTCACTGGAACAGGTACTAGTATCCACGGCTGAGAGACCCACAGATGGTTCATATCTCCTGACTGTGCAGACTACCCCCCAGTACCAGCCTGGAGCCTGGTAGACTTGCTGGGTGACTAGATCCAGAAGAGAGATAGTAATCACTACAGCTCGGCTCTCAGGAAGCCACATCCATAGGAAAAGGGGGAGAGTACTACATCAAGGGAACA